ATAATTTTTTTGTGTTTGGAGCTTTACGAAAAAGGTGACTGGTGGCAGAGGACTGAAAAGATTAGCTAAAAAGTGACAAGTGAACTAAAAAAAATAATTCCAAGTAATAAAAGACAAGAGAAAGCTGCGGACACTAAACGAAGGCAACATGAATGGCGTAAGCTACGATTGATACATCGACAATAGCCACGCGCGCCATTATCTACACACACAGCGCAAATTTTGAACATTATGTTAGTTTTGTGTTGGTCGGCACATCAGTAACTAAGATAACGCGACGGTGGTTTATATATGCGAAACACGACCTGATTGTTAAATAAATAAATATTTTGAGTTTCAAGCAGAGTATTGGCGATATTTTCAGCATTTCTTCAGACGGCTGGCATTCAGCATAATACGAAGTCTGTTTGCTTCCAATTCCGAACTTAGACCACTTATCCTATACCGAAATTTAGTAGACAGATAGTTTACTGTAGCGTAATGAGTACTGCATATAGCTGTGTGTCGCTAAATAGAAGTGTAGCTAAAGCAGCTCGGTTGTTTTACACGAACTGCGCAAACTTAAAAATCGAACGCCTTTATATTACAGACAAAATTGATCATTTTGGAGGACACTGAAGGTGAGATATCCTATACCTTAGAAAAACAAATTTTAACCTGAAACTACTTTAAAAAACAAATACGTAATAAGATTTTTGCTTTCTGTGCGTTCTTCACTAAACAGAGAACTAACGCCGGGATATTTAACATTTTCTTTCGAACGTATAACCAACTAACAAATCGGATATCATCTGGCTCTGCGAGCAGGTATAATTCTTCAAACGCAACCGATTTCCTTGCTAAAAATGAGAATTAAAGTAATGAGATACAACAGATGCGTCCCTTTTGACATTGCTCATCAATATTTCCCGGAATCGTGTGCTTCTTGTTTCGATCTGACAATGAGGCTAAATTTGTTCTCGTTAACGTGCAAACAGTTGTGAGGTCATACGCCGAGGTGGCACAGTCCCGTTCAACGGTAACTAAAGTCTAGTACTCGTGATCTAAACAAATATCAGTGCCATATTGTGAGCGCCTCCATTGTGACAAAATAACAGTCCCTATGAACACATAGATTATATTCTTACAGTATTTTGCATAGCCAACAACGATATAGTATCCTGCCTGAGGTGGAATTATACGAAAGCCGGCTTTGTCTTGAATCGAACAGAGGTGTCGATTCTTTTCTCGAAATAGCAGCTTTCAATATGAATTTGGATGCTCTTCGAGACCCATTTCCTTTACGATTGTGCCAGCTACAATCTCTTGCATGAGCGTATACATGTCGAAATGCCTCGAACAAATGCGATGGACCGTATGCCCAGCCAACGTGCCAACCTACACGGATCAAATGGAATATATCCAGACAAGTCAGCATAGACAATCGACAGATTAGAGAGAAAACGCTCAACTGTAATGACCTTCCTTCTTGCAAAATAAGTTGCTTAAGCGGGAAAAAAAGACCATGACTAAGCTTCACATTGTTCTAAGATATAACCGAACACATCTAAAGGAGATCCTCCTAACTGTTGCTGCAGCGTGTGGACACGCCAGATGTTTTTCCTTCAATACAAAACTCTGCGGACAAGCTCAGTTGAGCTTCAATGAATACTTTGATACCATTCGTGTACTCTTTTTGTAATATAACCATGGTATATAGAACTTCTCACGCGTTGGTGATGCCGAAACTTTTTACAAAATTTCAGACCATGGTGCCTCAAACGCACATCAAGTAGAGGTGCCATTCTTACATGCTCCCCTTCAAACGCTGTCCAATTGTAAACCCCATCCACGATGACGGTGATGTGTTTTTCTTGGCGAATGCCTGCTATCTCCAAGAATTCTTCATAGAAAAATACCTTTCCGATCGGATTTTGGGAAATGTCTATTACGATCATCTTCGTTCGACTTATAAATGCTGATTGGAGCTTGCTTACGTCGAATATCCACATACCAGTTAAGTTCTGCACGTATTTGACATTATATACGTGTACAATAAACCCACCGTAAGTATTAGACTCGATGATAAACAATGGTTTTTATTAATTGCCTTCCTTTTCTGTTTTTTGTTTGTCTGATAATCAAGAACTATATATCGTTGCAAGCTCCTTTTTTGTCTTTCGAGCGTGTAACTATAGTTTTGTCTGCATCAAAAAACTTTACATTGAGTACATGTACTTTTATCGAAATGCGAAGATTCTATTTAATCAGGTAAGTACTCTATATAAGGTATAACATCGTAATATTACGTGATAATCAGAATTGATAAAAAGTAAAAAAGCAGAGAGCAACGCTTCGATTATGAAAAGCATAAAACCATAAGAAATACTAATAGATAATGAGTACAGTTTGGACTTACTTTCATCATCAGATTATAATGAACCAGTATTCTGTTTTGCATCCGTTATCTTTTAATAATATTTTGAATTTAAAAAAAATGTTTTTTAACGAATTTCTTGAGAACTGCTTAAATCGCTTTTTGTTTCATCTTTTAGATATTTATTTAAAGTTTTTAGTGAATTTTGTTTTGTTTTCTTATAGTGTAACAGAATTCTACCTTGAATGTTGTTTCTACTTGATTACATGTCGAACTTGTTGCATCTTGAAAACAATATCTACTTCAGAGTCTAAACTCGACTTTGATATGAAAATAGTTTTAAAGAGAAAAAAAAATAGCACTAAATGGTACTAGCCAACCTAAGAAAAAACAGACCACCGTTATGTACATATATAAAGTGATAAGTGACATTCCCGATCCAAATTAAACTAGTAATAAAACGATGTACAGCTTTCTTACTCTTTGCAACAAACGCTACCACTGTTTCAGGTATATTAAGTGGTTTAAGAATACGCAATGTTTAGACGCGTTTTTCGATTGGAATTTCATTTTATCCTCTTAAGAAAAGTACCAAGGATAGGCATGACCAAGAACGAACCCACGGGTTCCATAGTAATAAAAGCAGGATTAGCGCTTACCATTATAATCATGGCTTGATAACAGTTGAAGTACGGTTCAATGAGAAAGACTATGTCTTCAGGACTTAACGGGCCTGTAAGACTCGCGTATAGGACTTCATATGTTCCTATAGTGATGCGGAACTCATCGGAAGACAGTTCTCAGTTGAGGATAGGCAGTACAGTTTCGCGGGGGCTTTTAAGAAACAGTGCCCTTACAATTAATACACAAATTAAACCGAATACTACAATCATTGGTACGTGACTAATTCACACGTGATTTCTATGAGTGCCCATTCAATCATAACTCATAACGTAATTTGCGGATATTATAAACAGTACTTTATAAGAAATGATCTTTCCGAGTATATTCACTTTAGCAAATGGGAAGCTGTACTAAGCACTCAATATCATGCTGATTTCTCGCCTCGAATCTTGACAATTCTGCTCCAACGGTTCATGGAAAGCTTGGGCATCATGATTAGTGATACCTATAACCTTGTATTCGGTTCATGAAAATTTTTTTCTCATTTCTCATAAATTTCTTTGTGTTGTATTAGATTTATATAGAGCACGTGTAGTAGAATATTTTAATAATACTGACCGCGCTAGCGAGTGGCATCATCATTAAATATAATATTTTACCACAAGCAAATGGGTTCAAGGAGGTGATATATATATATATATATATATAGCAAAAGTTGAACTTCAATCTGAGAATTCGGTCACACAAAGGTAAATTTTCTTTGAAGTTTGCCAAGCTTATGCTACATAACTTAATTTATTTGATTTTGCGCAACCTGTTCTTCAATTATTTTTTAGAAATTTATATCAGTTGGTAAATTTGTAGGATGCAGATATATATCGGGCACGTGCTGTCACATGTTAAGTCTAATACTTGACAGTGTGTTTCCTGATGAACACAAGGATCAGAAGGCTCTCGTGAAGGATAGCTATAACAACCTCTGTCGGGGACATCTCAGCAAAATCTAAAATTTAAGGTACACCACTAAGTTGGTGTCCCTCGTCAGCTGAGTAAACAACTCCCTGTGTTGTTATACTCCTATAGAACAGGAAGGACAAATTAACAATCACATTGACACAACGGATCTTCTAGTTTTTTTCCAAACCTGGTAGTCAATTTTTTCCCGAATAGAAATCCTATCGAGATAAACCTCACTCTATGCCAAGAAGGAAAAATTTTATTACCTATTTTTCGGGGCCCACCGTACTTTTGGCCTCAGTTTATTGAAGCTTTTTGCTGGGGTAAATTTGTACATTGTATTACAGGAAAGGTTTTTTTGGCTGAAGAAACAGTTTTCAGCTGAGAGAGCATAAACATGGCAGATCAATGACAACCATCAGTGATGATGCTGACCGGTTCCACTAAGAACTAATCCTTGGAATTTACTAACCGACTTACTTTTATAAAATTTCAACAGCTTGAAAGAGAATGGTTTCTGTGATTGTCAATCTGTTATACATAGCTATCCAGACTTAGCTACTCCATTGCTGTGTTCTAAAAAAGCCGTCGACCTTGTCGCGCTCATTTGAAAGTATCTTCGCTACAACAAGATTGAATCTCTACGCTAAGTATCCGAGATAATTTCACAGGTCTATTTCGTGAAGAAACGTCTTTCTCGTTATTCACATTTGACTGCAACTTTGCTAAAAGCAGACTAAATCTTTACGGTTTTTTTGTCAGAAACATTTTTCAACGGTTTTGACATGTTAAATATCAGAAAAAAAATTCGCAAGCAGTTCTATGTTCTTTTTTTAACATACCTATCAGGACTTATTTCTAAGCTGGCATATATGCTCTAAGCAACCGTATGGGCACTTATATGTACACATTACCTCGCTATATAGTCAGTATAATTTCGCATTATAATTAATCATACCATAACCCACTATTAAATCGTGGCAATATTATTAGCTTTTTGCTAAACGAAGAAGATTAATCTATAGTATAAAAAAATTGTTGGTTTCTATTGTCATTTAAGAATCGCGATTTTTTGTGTTTAAAGGAGATCAAGGAATAAATCCTGTAAGTTGAGCATCGGAGTGTTTTTTCTAATGTTTGCCTTTTCATTACCTTGGAAGGATTACAACCTTGGAAGTGATACCAGACATTTAGTGATAAATCCCGCTGCTTTTCGGAAGACTTGTTTTAACCTTTTAGAGTATCGCTTATCATATTTTCATGTTGTAACATATGCAAAGCAGTCCCTTAGTTAATTTTGGAGTTAAGTGAGTTATTTCATTTGCTTACTGTCACTTATATCTCGGTTTAGAATAACCTGAAGAGTAACATAAGACATATCGTCTCATTTTTGTAAGGAGCAAATAATTCTTCAATGCGATTTCATTCATATATTATTCATCAAACTTTGCGAATAGCATACTTATTTGATGGAAACTCTTTATTCCCAATTATAAAATTCTTAAGTACTTAGTAAACTTAAAGGCATCCTTAAATTATTCTTCGTCCAGTCCTTTTATTATATTGTTGTACATTCAGGTTGTTAAGGTATACCTAATTCCATCCGGGAGACATTCTTCTAATTGAATAAATGCTAGATTTTACCATAGCAGGTGAACAAATGCGGGCGCAAAGAATAATAATGGCGGTGCTTTTAGCCACGTTCTTTTTTGATTGATGACACGTTACGATTACTGCCATCATAGCGAGTCGTCCGTTTTCCGTTTGCAGTTAACACGAAACTACTTTTAACAACATGACTTGGTTTATATATGCGGACTCAATTCTTTTGTCAAGCCTGAAATCCCAGTTAAATATACAAACTTCCATTCAAATGGGATCAATTGTCGCCTAACAGCCTCACTGCCGGTGCCAAGCGTTGAAACGCTGAAACTATGTACCGCGCGCCGTCGCGAAACCTAGTTGATAGAAATTTGTTCGAAAACTTTATTTGACCGGTATAGCAATACCCTCTATATAATGCAGTGTGCTTCGAACCTATCTACTTTTCTTCCTGTTTAAAAATAAAATATTTAGGCTTTTTTATCGTTTATCAGCAAGGCATTTCTTTTGGCTTGAAGGTGTAAGCGCATCGTTGACAACTGAAGAATAAGTAATAGCTTTCTTTCTTTAGCCGATACAAAACTCGCGGCACAGCGGTGGACTAAGAGCAGCGGCCTCGATTGCGCGAGGTGCCAGTTCCGACATGCATCCATCCATACATCCATCGAGCTTGTTTACATCTGGCTCCAGAGCTCGAAAGGGTTGTCGCATCAGCCAGTCTGTTTGTGTGCGGGCTAATTCATTCTGCCATGAGCCAAGATTCGTCGAGTTGGTTGGCGTGTGCTCTTAGAGCGACAGTCAGTATATATTGGTGTCCAACGAGGAATAACTTGCAGTTGTGTGATGTTTGTGGTAGAGGCAGCTTCGTGGAGAAGTATGCGTAGCGTTGTGACTGTTCGGAATATTCAAGAAGTGCTGGTGTAATTTTGAACTCGTTCGGCACTACCGCATAAAACTACGCAGCACGTTCGGTCGTGTTGAGCCTCGTTCGTTCGGTGAAAATAAGCAACAACAATATTCACGATATTAAGGGTGTACTGTAATTAGTGTCACTTCAAGGGCCAGTGTGCGAAATAGTTACGACGCCTCGCGTGGAGTATCAACTTGTTGTTGTAAAAAGGAGGCGATAATCAAATACGCTTTGTGATGAGTGAACAAGGCTCAATCGAGATCCCTTTAAGGGACACAGATGAGGTTATCGAGTTGGACCTCAGTCAGCTGCCTGATGGAGAAGAAACACTCACAATTTTGAAACAAGAGAAAGCTCAGTTACACATCTGGGTTAATCTTGCCCTTGGATACTACAGGTAAGCGACGGACACATTGGCTTTGCTCAAGATGCGTTCACGTTGATTCATGATAATATATATACATATATCAATCTAAAATGGTAGCATACCCCAGGTGGCTAAAAAGTAATAGGTATAATACGTAAAAATGCATGACAGTCATGCCTTGTTATGAAATTCCATATTTTACTTCGAGCACCATAAGAATCAGAATAATAAAGTGTAACATACCCAGGCTTTTTGAAATGTTTACTTCATTTGTTTTCATATCTTAGTAGAGTCAGAGGTTACAATCAGTAACATGTCGTTGTGTTTACAATTATGTGTCTAACAATGATCCTCGTTAAGACTAGAAGATATTATTAATGGCCTAAGCCAATAAAAGTAGCAGCCAATAATTGGTATATATTATACAGCAAATACTGTAGACATATTCCACCTCCAGCTACATAGCACACTTGTCAGCACAACAAAAAAATCCAGTATTTAATAAGGCATATAAAAATATAACTACTTGATTACCAGTTTTAGACAATATGTATAATGTACTTGTGCTCGTATCGTCTATTTTTTAGGCAAGGTAAAGAAAAAGATATGGTCGCCCTGTTAGAAGCAGCCCGCACAGGTTTGGGTACATACGCTTCGTTGGATTACAAGGAACATGAGCACGACGAGATGAGATGTCTCGATACATTGGCGGCATGGTATGTCCGTCAAGCTAATAAAGAGAAGAATAAGGAACTGAAAACGGAAATGTTCACTCAGGTGAGCAAAAGTGGTAAAAGGATTTTCTCAATTATAAGATATTCAAACTAACGTCGTTATGCTAGGTCTCTTGGACATCTGCATAAAGACCTTACAAGAGCGTGAAAAGGAAAAAGGGGAGTAGTATCGTTAATTAGTCTCACAGTGAGGCAACATATTTTGATAAAAGGGACTTTTTGCTTGACGTAGTGGACTTCATATGCGCACGTTTTGATATTGTACTTGAGATAGCGAATGATTTTAAAAGCTTCGTTTATTTGATTTGCATTTCAGGCAACTCAACTGTATACCGCCGCCGATCGTATTATTATGTATACTCAAAACCATCTGCTGGGTCGAGCCTATTTCTGTCTGCTCGAGGGTGACAAGATGGAGCAGGCGGATGCGCAGTTCAATTTCGTCTTGAATCAAAGCAACAACAATATTCCTTCCCTTCTTGGAAAAGCCTGCATTGCATTTAATAAAAAAGACTACCGGGGGGCATTAGCCTTTTACAAGAAAGCTTTACGCACAAATCCGAACTGCCCAGCCGACGTACGACTTGGCATGGGCCTGTGTTTCTTTAAGCTTGGAAAGCTCGAAAAGGCCAGACTAGCGTTTGAACGTGCTGTCCAACTCGATTCGAACTGTGTGGGAGCTTTAGTAGGTCTTGCCATTCTTGATTTAAACACCAAAACGTTGGAGGGTATCAAGAACGGTGTTGAAGTTTTGTCAAAAGCATACGCCATCGATACGTTTAACCCAATGGTGCTCAACCATTTAGCTAACCATTTTTTCTTTAAGAAGGATTTCGAAAAGGCGGAAACACTGGCTTTCCACGCGTTCAATAATACCGAAAATGAGGCGATTCGTGCTGAAAGTTGTTATCACCTAGCACGTTCATTCCATATGCAGGAGAACTACGATCAAGCATTTAAATACTACTATCAAGCAACCAATTTTGCTTCGCCATCTTTCGTTTTACCGCAGTTTGGTCTTGGTCAGATGTATATCGCTAGAGGTGATAACGACAGCGCCATGGCCTGTTTTGAGAAAGTACTCAAAGCGCAACCAAATAACTATGAAACGATGAAAATTCTTGGTTCGCTCTATGCACACTCAGGAAATCAAAACAAGCGAGATCAGGCGAGAACATATTTGAAAAAAGTGACGGAACAATTTCCTGACGATATCGAAGCATGGATTGAAATGGCTCAGATCCTCGCACAGAACGATACACATGCAGCCCTCCAGGCGTACGAAACGGTTAAGAAAATCCTGCAGGAGGATCAGGCCGAGGTACCACCCGAAATTTTAAACAACATGGCTTCGCTCCACTACAGACTTGGTAAATACGAAGAATCGCAGAAGCTGTACGAGAAAGCGTTGGAACGGTGTCAGATAGAATCGGAGCATGACGAGAATTACTACAAATTTATGTCCGTCACAACCAACTACAATCTTGGTAGAGTATTCGAAGCGCTCAACCAACTGGACAAAGCGACTCGCCTTTATAAACTCATCCTTAAAGAATATCCAAATTACATCGATTGTTATATGAGGTAAGCAGAGACCTTAATATTACTACATTTATTCACATTTTTAAACATAAATCAACTTTGTAATTTTTGCACATAGAAAACTTAGAAAATGTATTGATATCCGGTAATCTAAAAGGATAGTTAACAGTCGCTATCTTCATGTGCTTTCTATTTTATATACTCATTGCATATGTTGTTGCATTCTTGTTCTGTCATTTCCAGGTTGGGCTGTATTGCTCGTGATCTCGGCCAAATCCATGATGCGTCGGTGTGGTTCAAAGACGCCCTTCAAGTCGACAATCACAACCCCGATTGCTGGTCACTCATCGGCAATTTACACCTTCGCCAACGTGAGGTTGGTGCTGGCCAAAAGAAATTCGAGAAGATCCTTAATAATGAGGTATCAAAAACGGATTCATATGCTCTTGTAGCACTGGGCAACGTCTGGCTATGGACGTTGCACGAACAAAAAATGGAGCGCGACAAGGAAAAACGACACCAGGAACGGGCACTGGCTATGTACAAACAGGCGTTGAAAATTGATCCGCGAAACATGTTGGCAGCCAACGGAATCGGTGCCGTCCTTGCGCACGCGGGTCATGTTACCGAGGCGCGGGAGGTATTCGCTCAGGTACGCGAGGCGACGGCAGATTTCCCTGATGTATGGCTAAATATTGCGCATATCTATGTCGAACTGCGTCAGTACGTATCAGCAGTTCAAATGTACGAGAACTGCCTAAATAAGTTCTTTAAGTATGACAACGTCGAGATCCTCGTCTACCTTGCCAGAGCGTTCTACCGAGCGGGCAAACTTCACGAATGTAAAAATGTAAGTGGTATCTATATTTCTGTTGATGTGGTGTCCGAAATAAAACAGACTGTTTCGTTTTGAGTTAACTTTGTAGTAACAAGCATCTGCTCAAGTCTTACATCTATTTAATTTTGTCTCGTAAACATTTTATAATAGTTTTATGAATTGTTAGCTTTGACTAGAGCAGAATCATTCGCGTTGCAATTAGCAAACAAAAAATAGACCAGGCATGATGTATAGTAATGGAAACTTAAAAAAATTACCGAGTCATAGTATAATAATTTAGTTTTTTGGCTACATTATAAAATATAGCAGTTGCTAAAATATTCATTCTTCTGTAGATTTCTAACAGCAATGGTATTTCTATTCTTGCAGATCCTATTAAAAGCGCGTCGAGCAGCGCCAAACGACCTGCAAATTTTGTACAACGTTGCGCTCGTCCTTCAGTGCCTCGGCATGCAGGTACTTAAGGATGACAAATCCAATCTCAAGACTGTGTTGCAGGCGGTGAGCGAATTGGGTATCGCACACAAGTTCTTTACATCGCTGGGTCAAACGCAGGGAGGTAAATACAACGCTACCCAGGCACAGGCTGAGGCACGACAATGTTCCGATCTGCTGAGTCAGGCACAGTACCACGTGGCTCGCGCCCGTAAGCTTGACGAAGAGGAGCGAGACTTCCGGGAAAAGCAAGAACGCGAAAGACAAGAATTGCTTGCCAAGCTTGAGGAAAAGAACAAAGAAGAGATGGAGAAACGGCAGAAAGAACGCGAGGAGATGGTCGCCAAGCGCCAACAATTTGTTGAGCAGAGCAAGCACAAAACGAAATTCGAAGAAATGCCATCTGAGGCTAAAAGCCGAGGTGGGCGCAGAGGCAAAAAGGATAGACGAGACGGAGAAATTGTCACCTCGTCAGATGAGGAGGGTGGGACTGGTAGTGGCGGTCGCGGTGATGAAGGTGGCGACGGAACTAAAAAGAAAAAGGAACGCAAGAGAAAAGAAAAAAGCAGCAAAGGAAAGGATGGGGAAAGAAAAAAACAACGCAAACGAAAGGGAAGCCCCAAGACGAAGGCGCCCAAGGAGAAACGTGGAAAGGTAAAAGTTACACGGTTTCTCGGTTGTTTGCCAGCCGAACAAAATATCAATACAACATAGTGGTAGTGATAACTAATCATATCCAGATAATAATTCCTTGTTTTCTACTTTTAAAATAATGAGGTAAATCTTGTGAGAAACGAATTGCTTTCCAGGGGGTCGAAATGAAGTTTAAGCTATGTAGGTTGTGTCTAGTTACAATCAAATTATCCATTTTTATTGTTTGTTATGTATCGATTCATTGGCAGAATGAGAGGCTAACGGAAAAGCAGAAGTCGAAGTTCCGTTCGAAAGCTACTATTTCTAGTTCTGATTCCGATTCCGAGAGTGGGCGCAGGAAGTTGGCTAGTCCCACTCGCAGTGGTACTGGAAGCGGCAGTGGTGACGACGCTGGTCCTACCAACAAGAGAATTCTTTCATCTGAAAGCGAAAGTGAAAGTAAGTACAAAATTTATGATCAGCTTCCAAATTTGATTTTTAGATCTTTCGAGGTCTGTCGTTACTTCCATTAACTCACAATTTGCTTCATTTATGCCGATTCTGTCTCTTGTACTCTGTCTTCTATGGTTTAACAGGGAATCGCCAAAAGCGCAAAAGAGTTATGTCCGCTTCCGAAGATGAGGTTCACCACTCTGACTCTGGAAGGTCGCGATCACGTTCAAGAAGCAAATCAGGATCTCGTTCACGAAGTAGATCGGCTTCACGCTCAAGGTCTAGATCCAAGTCCAGGTATAAGTCGTTTGATTTGTTTTATGTATCATTGATTGCGTTTAGTAATCACATTAGTTGTATGCTTAATGCATAATCCAATTGCTTAATATAGTCTTACGGATTTTGGCCTTTTAAAGCATTTACGTATATATTGTGCGTGTTTTCATTTGCTAATCAATTGGATCAATTTTCTTACTAGCTATACTGTTGCTTCCATTCAACACTGAAGAGATGCTGAACAGTTTGAACTTGTTAAAATGATCTTGATCGAATGTACCGATCCCCTCCGGCTCATAAACTATCGTTATTTCCTTGTATTTACACACACAGACCTAGATCGGCAGGATCACGCAATTCAGGGGGTTCACGACGTTCCCATTCAAGGTCTAGGTCCCGTTCGGCTGCGTCATCACGAAGCCGCTCTCGAAGCGGCAGTCGTCGTTCTAGCCGTTCACGCAGCCGTTCTAGAAGTCGCTCAGTGTCACGAAGCATTGGGTCACGGTCGCCTTCCCCCAAATCTCCGTCACAGGGAGGAGAATCGCCTAAGTCACCGTAACGCCATAAATGAAAGGAAAACCTCTGTAATCGATCACCGAGCCGTTTCTGTACAGTTAGAAGTATTTGGAACGGTCATCAAGAATACTGCCGTAATGTCGCATGGAGTCAAGCAGCCGTGATGATCGGGAGATGTGTCATGTACGACAATTGAGGCAAAAACCTCCGTTAAATATAATGTGCCGTAAATTGGTTATAGTTTCTGTTTGCGTGCGCCCCGAAGGAGAACGCCGAGAAAGTGCGATGGAAATTTTTGGGCGTCATTGAGTTAGTGATTTATAATACCGATGTCTAAAGCACGGGGGTCTAAGATCGCTGACGAAGAAAATCGTAGTAGTTTAGCATTGAGAAAACCCCACTTACTCTGCTTTGTAAATGAACTCACTTATATATTAATGTACACTAAATAATTAAAAGGTGATGACAAATGTAGTTAGGAAAAATGGAATATAGTGATAATTGTTAGGCCCATTAATATTATTTTGAAGTATCGAATAATAATATTTGTTGTATGAATACTACACGGTAATAACAATTATGATTATTAATAATAAAGTATATATGCGTTGATAACAATGGACGTAGTTTTCTGTTTGTTGATGATCAATAGATAACATTAACGTAAAGAATAGGGGAAAACGCACTGACAGATCGCATTCAAACAACGTTCTTGAACCTTGTTATTTGTTACCTTGAACTTCTTATCTTCGCAACTGCACTGAGTATAATCCATTTAGGCGCTATGCTATCTTTTATATTTGATAGACGGTCTTTTCATTGGTAATAAAACTACTCGTGACTTCAGAGCTAGGATAGCAAAATAATCTAATAAATAGTTCGTCTCTCCGGAGCGACAAATGGGGCAGATTAAAATACAGAAACTTCCCACAATCAATGTAGAATGTAATGAACTTAGACGAATGCTTTTTAATAAATCTGTATTAAATATTGTGAGGCTATGCGCTTTGCAGAGTTTGAGTGTGATAATAGTTCTGAGCTTTCAGCAGTCACAGACATATGCCGAAAAGGTTCAACAGCGAATATAATAACAAACGATTTGTCGATATCTTCGGATTTGCGAAAGCGACTCCCTTAGGAAATTTTGAATTGAATATGATTCTTATAACTAACTGAATACACCTGAAGTTGCATGTTACCATATTTTTTGATACACAAGCTTACTAGCAATATTTACTAATGGATTGTTCCGATAAATAGCTGAGTTATTAATCCGTTTGCGTGGAACATCAATGCGACCAGCCAGCAAGCTAGCTAAAACAATGAGGGTTAATGTGCATACAAGTAAAGCGTGTTTTGTGACTTATTCTCTACTATGTGCTACGGCGAAGCCTGTGTATCTCCATGTGTGCGTGAATGGTTTATAAAAAAAAAGGTTTTAGTAGCTCGTTATAATATTAAAATATGTATGTATTTGACTACACAGTTGGCCTTTTCCTAATTTCGAAAATTATTTATACAGTGAGAGCGAATCGTACTATGCAATGTACCATTGTGTTCCTTTTGACTTTTTCGGATTTTATTAAGGTTTTATTACTAACTCAGGCAGATAAATTCAAACAATATACATATTAATAATTAAGTCAGATTTGGTCATGGTTGTATTCAAGCTATGCTGTCTCAAAATATCACAGTTCTTATAGTTTAGAGATAGTAAATAGATAATTCATTGAGAGCCACGCCGTCCATTTAAACAAACAGCCTGTCATATTTAAAAAAAGTTAGCTGCAACTCTTTCTATTTGTATTTGTCTTTTTTTTTTTAAATTGGAAGGTCATTATTAATAGTTTAGTTAACATTGACATCAACCTTTACCTGCAATGACAGCGCTTAAGAGATCACGCTGCAGTAAGGTGTCTCTGTATATTCCATAAGATTGATCCCACGGCCCTATTTTGTCAGTTCATCAGATACATGACAACCAGAATCAAATTAAAATCTGACCACGAAAGAGGTCGTTCATCAAAGTGTAATTAGTTATAAGACACGGATCATACACAAGCTGCGCGGGCAAAATTGTCTTGTCACGGTATATGCGTTTGGGTACCCGACTCCACTAACGTTTATATAAAAGCCATCTTGTGCCATTAGGATGGATACCAATACGAGGCTCATTTCGATCTCATCTCATTCGCCAGTGCGAGATGAAAGTGCTCCGCTGCTCGGTATTGCTAGCTTCAGCAGCACTTGTACAAGGTAACAATTAGCACACCTTAAACAGTAGCATGAAATAGTTACAGGCAACGTATATAGCAAGGATGGCATTAATGACATTTTTTAGAACTTTGATTTTTGTTAATATAATATTGGTTTATTGATCTCGTCTATAATTATTGAGTAATTCTTGTTTTACTTGAAAATGTAAAAAAAGTGGAACGCTACCCTAATCAAGACTCAAGCAGCTTCGCCTTCGTAGTCGAGCTTTCTGGGAAGCTCGCTCAGGAAAAAGTGCTTATCTTCAACGTAATAATACTCATCCGTAATTTCACTAAGTATGCCTTTCTTATTATAGACATTTTAACATTCGTTTCACCTTATTTTTTGCAGGATTTTCTAAGGGAGGGAGCAGAGTAGAGGGTAGCAGTCGAGACAATTCAATCGCTCCAGGATGGATCTTAGAGTTTGCCAATGGCGGCTCGACTCAGACACCTGCGACTAAAGGGGGTTTTCCACAGATCACGTCTATATTCCCGGAAATATTTACTAACCGGCTACCCAACGTCCGGCAGCGCGAACCACTACGATCCGTTCCGATTCAACAGGAAGCAACGGAAACTCCTATTAATACTTACGTTCCACCTATCCAAACGTACCCACAATCTGAGCAACGAGTAGCAACACTTCCGGAAATCGCTTCAATGCCTCGGACTCAACCAAACGAAGTTATTCATCATCATTTTCAGATCCCGGCGCCTCAGTCTTCATTAAGGAGAGTGAGCCAGACTATTACAATGCCGCCCATACCATCTGTAAACCCGACGTGGACCCATACAGCATGGGGTTTGTCGCCGTACACGCCAACACCTGTCGCACCAACATGGACACTTGCCTCCATGCCAAATCCAGAAGGAATCAACTCCGAGCTACTAACTCACCTCATTGAATGTATCAAACATTCTCATAGTAAGCAACATATATATATATATATATATATATATATATACTATAGTAAAAAATTCTAGTAAAAAACTAAGCTGATCAAATTTCAATCTAGCATGTTCGTTTAAAAATCATTAATTTGTTTCTAACATAGATTGTTGCGTGTGTTCGGCTGTTCGAATACCGCTATGCTGTCATTTCTGCTAGATAGATTTCGTTAGCCGCAACACTAATTCATTGGTTGATTTGGTAAAGTAAATTTGTGAAAGTATGAATTTTTCAGGACGCGTATCATTTCGTTTTGCATATCGATATAAGCATATTATGACATTTGTTTTGAACATTCAGGTTCCGGCAATTCAATGTCACACGGAAGTTCACGAATGACGCCGATTACGTCTGTGCCAGTTCCGGCACCAGCTCTGGTTTCCAATGTTCGACCGCAGTACATTCACCCCCAGCCGCTCTCTATATCACAACCGATTCCGCAACAAATATTGCAACAACTACCTCAGCAACAACAAGTGATTCAGCCGCAGTCACAACAGCAACAGCAAGTTGTCCAGCCGGGTCAACAACAGATTATTCGATCTGGCCCCCAACAACAGATCATACAACATTTACCCCAACAGCAGCAACAACTTATTCAGCCTCAGACAGAACATCAACAACATCGTCAACAACAGATTCCACAAACTTCCCAACGAATTCAGGCCCCTCAACAAATTGCGCAGGTGCCCCAGCAGATAGTGCACCTACAGCCACAACAGACAACAGTCCGTATGTATAATCGTTTACCGTTACAGTCAGGGTTGACCTTAATGAAACATGTAATACATAGGGTGTTTCTTGTTTTGATAGATAATAACTGTGCGTAAAAATATTAAACTACGTCTTGGGTACGCTGGTGGAATCACCGGAAAGGCGACATATGTATTTCAAGTCAAGTACCACCTTCGAGGGTTACTGATTACAGGCCATGTGTTTACCAACTTCTCAAGAAATCAGTGAGCAAAAAGTCCCGCATTAATCATTAAGGCCTAATGATGTTATAAAGAGACACGTAATTACGGCACAGAGCATAAAACGCGCGTAATGTTTACGCATGTGAATATAAACGTTTTCCTTTTGGTTTCTCACTGTCTACACGCAGAAGTTCAGTCACGTCCTCAGCACCTACAACAGCCACAAGAGGCCCAACAGCAACAGATTCAGCCACAGCAAATTCGTCAGACCCAGCCTCAACAGATTCAACCACAGCAACTTCAGCAGCAGCCTCAACAAATCCCATCACAACAGATTCTCCAGCAGCAGCAGCAGGCACAACATAACACCTCATGTACGTAAATACCGTCTGTTATATTGATCTTTTGTTTTATTGACTCGTAATATGGCTTAAAACAGCCATGTTTTATACATACGTATGAGTTTATGCATAGCAGATAGTTATGATTCCCTCGACAAAGTCATGGACGTGTTTGCCTGCTGGCCGAAGGAGTTCGGGTTCGAATTTAGAGGTGACAATGTTTCCTTTAGTAAAAGCAATTGAAAAGTTGAGGCAGTAATAGGAATGGCCTTATGGCTATAGGTGAATATCTTTCGCCGTCAAGAATTACAGTTACAGAGCTTGATAGCTTGGTAGCCGCTAAAAGAAAATTCCTAGCACAAGAAGAACTTAAAAATTAGATAAATTAACGGTATTCGTCATAGGCGTCCAAACTATATAGAACCACTAGAGATTAGACATTTCATTTAGGGTATGTATTTGCTAATAAAAATAACAAATATCCATAGAAATATTCGTTCTTCATAGTAGAAGATTAAATCGTTTGGTGATTGTCGATTTTCATTTAGCACTCCCGTTGTTGCCCGGCGTGCATCCCGCAAGGCCTACAGGTATGAATACTTTTTAGCAATGACTTAAAGGAAAACTAGCGAGTCTCTGAGCATAATCGTAATCTCTGAATGCATAACCTCGATACATACTGGTACTATTTAATGATTCACATGAGCCGTCACATGCTCTTTACGTTGAAGCATGAAATTAAATATTCAAAATTTAGCGTACAGTTTTTCTAATCATTTTTATCATTTCATTTGGACGTTGACTTCGGTGACTTTTGGCGTCTTACAGCTCCCTCACCGAGCGCAAACAACAACCGGTTGCCTGGAATGCCCTCTCTAATTGAGATTAACCAACAACTTCAGCCTGTTAGCTCATCAAAAACAGGCTAAGCTCAGCAACCAGGCGTCTAACCTTTAAAGTCTGATAAGCTTATTAATATAAGAAGAAGATAATAATTAATTAAGCATAAAACTACCACAAGTACTATCGAACCGACATGCGAACGTAGACGCGACTCAGCGAACTATTTAGCACTTCTTCTAATGTCAGCATGACACGACGCCGAAACGACGTCATAAAACCTTATCGGCCTCGACTATAATTATGCGAAACTTCTGTTATTACAACGCTGCCAGTGATCACAGCGTAAGAAATAAAGGAATAAAGTACATATTACATAGATATAGACTAGAGGATTTCCCTTTAGCTGTCACATTTATAAATTAGAGAGATTACTAAATCCCGCGATGTAAATTTCTTGGTGTCTTTTGAAGCATTGATGCCTAATATAAAGATAAGAGAGATAAGGAGAGATAAGGCCTAAAGAGAGATAAGGTGAGCTGTAATTTACATTGAACTATTTTACTAGGTCGGTCAAGAAGTAATGTCCGCCTTTCTTTAAATATTTCTCTTCCCTGTACACCATTTGTTTACTTTTATTTACCATTTGAAAACATTCCTGTGGTAGATACAGTATAATTTCCGCTAGCAACGCAGCGAGTACTTCAAGAAATTCTTATATTTGGCAGTTTCTATTGAGAAAAGCTATAACGTTGTCCTCTGCTTGTATAATCACTTCAGTAGTTTCATTCGGATAATTGCTTGAGAGAAACTGCTCTTCATTGGTTTGATCTAATATGCACCGCAGTCCAGCGCAAAACATTATTGTTTAGTTTCTCAAGTTGATGTCGGTAAACAAAATATTTCAACAGTCTTATTTATGGGTTTTACATTTATAAGTTATAATAGAAAAACTACCTATAATATATTTATAAGAGTGACTTAGATCGGTGCGAAGGGTTAATTCATTGTCTTTTGCTTAAAAAACAACCTTGTTTTGCATTCGGCTCTCGACCTTCGATGGTGCAGTGATTCCAAAATATAGACCTTTGACATGTCATCGAACACATTTTGGCAAATTGCTCAAAGTTTCCTTATTGACACCTCTAGCGATGAGTCCTGAACTAAAGCCTTCTGAGGAGCACTGAATTAGCTGCAAGTTAGAAATAATCGTACAGCCCATATGTTTCTTTCGATGATCCAGTCTAGAACAATGAGTTCTCACGCATTTTCATTACTTATTACGGATAGCTCGATATTTTACGTCTCGGTCTTTTCATTTACGAGCATTTCCCATAATCTAGATCTCTATTGAGTCTTTATTGAGTTGAAGGACGAACTACTGCGTGCCCGTGCGATAAAACCAAGTTGTCACTTCTCAAAAGCATGTGCTTTGGATCTGACATTTTAATGGAGCAGGTTGATGGAAAAAAACGACGTCAAGTTCCTCTCAAAGAAGCAAAGCAATTTCGCAGCGATATTGTTTTAGTCAAATCACCGCAAAAAATAAGGTTATCAAACTCTAATTAGGTTAATTACCACTACAAGCACCGGTCTGCATCTAATATGTCGACCTGCAAAAAAATTAACTTTTGATATAACATTCAGTACGAAATTGTCATTAAGTTAAATGGTGCTTTCATGCGTGAATAAAGCGACTCTACTGCTATGCTCTAATTGTACGCTCTGCAATAAGAGCCTTCAGATAAGCAATACAAGGCTTTATTATTTTATAATCATAGCATTGAGGTTCGTATGATATGTGCACTGGTTACTTTGGTTGTTTCCCGATACTCAAACTTGTTACGAGCGGTGGATGCGCTAGACTGTATACTAATTTTATTACCAGACAACAGTGCAGCAATGTAATGGCATGAAAGACATTCATAATCAAGCAATAAAGCATTTGCAGCTCATCAAAGAACACTAATTATAAAAATAAACTCATAGATAAATGGACATGCAGATGACAATGCTAAGGGAAAAGTCTCAAGTACTAACCGCTTGCCTCTGCTAGAGGAACGCCCTAAGTTGTTACCTTAGCAAGAACAGAAAGGACGCCGCTGGCACGGCGTGTGTTGCTCGCCATCCACCGACCGTTTTGTGAAACCTATTGATGAGAAATCTTGTTACCCGATGTTCTTCGTTTAGAAACGCTCTACGTTCAAGTATTACAGCAACAGTAACATTCTGTTCGTTTACGTAGCCGACATTCGATTTGCGGTGCAGCACAAGCAGCCACTAGAAAGTGCAGGCCATAGGTTCATATAAAACCTTTTTCCCCAAACCCGGTTCGCTACGGAGACTAACCATGGAACCCATAATTGTTCTATCAGTCAACGCAGAAGATGGGTACCCGGCTAGAAACAGATCTCGATTGGGAAGGTGTGGTTCACTCGGTCGTGTTCTTACTGGTGTAACGACTCGGCATTAAACTTTGACCTCGTTTCGTGATAGTTTACCAATCACAGTTGAATCTACAAGGCTGCTCTGATCTCTGGTGGCACCCTAGGCGTCTGGTTAGATGTGTGTATTTGATTCTCGCCAGGCCACAGCGACGACCGGGACGAGAAGTGGACCCGTGTATCGGACTCCTGACATAGCGAGTCTGTGTGCTCACGAAAGGATTATAATGCACGGATGCTACCGTAATGCATCCAGTATTTATAGACAAAAGTGTCGTAGTAACTGTCAATATTAATTGTTATTATTCATCATTTAGCAAGCAAATAGAAGTGAGTAGCAATCCTACTTAAGTAAAAATGGTAGAATTGGTATCCATTGAATATTAATATTATGAGAAGGTCAGGGCAATAGTATGCTCTTGACTGCCCACGAGCGTCAATTACGCACGGGTTGAAAACAAGCTAAACAATATATTATGAAATGGGTAAATTAAGCACACGATAATAAACGAGTTCGGCTCGTTAATAGACAACTTGAATTTCATCGATCTAGGAAAAAGCAAAAACGGAAGTCCAGTATTGAAGCACTACTAATTATGGCTTGTTAAAAACAGAACCTTGCAAGGCCCATAAAATTACAAGGATAAAAAACGTAAGGACAATTTCGAAAAGGACTTCCACAAAGTATTAAAGATGCTATAAAGAAATGGGCTACAAATACAATTTAAACGTTGCTAGAGAGCCACGAAGCGGTCGTAGAAGTACTACAGTATGTGAGAATATTTTCCCATGAAATTGTAGGAAAAGCATTGAGCTTTAAGCAGGGCTAAATTAACACATCAATATAGGTTTCGGGACTCAATTTGAATGAGACTGTTTTTACACTAGCCTTGCAAAGGTTAATTGTATAACCTGCTTATTTCTATATATTTAGAGGTATATATATGCTATATTTATTCTATTTGTAGACTAATGAGCTATGTAAGGTCGCCAGTTAATTGAACATTGTGTCATTATTATCAAATTGAACATAGGTTTTAATAATCTTCCCCGTTTTTGCTGCCATATTATATTAGTCCATAACAATAGCCCGCGCGATTCGAATATTAGCCAATACATAATTTATAAATTTGTCATTTTCTTCCGTATTCCTGTTGGTTTCCAGCATACAAGTGTCATTTGCCGTATCTCATTATATTTTGATAAACTATTCTGAAACTTAGTTCGATAAACATATAGGTATCTCTGGGTACATAGGTTTGTAGGCTTAAAGCACCGGCTTTTAATTTTGTCTACACAAATTTGATCTGGCTCGGCCTGACATCTACGTTTACTGCGACCAGGGAATGCAGGACGGTGTTACCCACAGCCTGCTGTTATTTCAGGGATTTGATGATGCATACTGGTAAAGCAAAGCCTCTAACAAGATGGCAACGAGAGCGTGACCCCAGGACCAAGGTCCTCCCCAACATGTCAATATGCCTAAAGTGATATACTGAATTCTTATGCTACATCAGCAGATGGTCTGTTGAGGCCTCGGTAGCTTCAAGGGTTCTCAGAGAGAAAAAACGGCTAAATCAACTGAGAAGGCCAGATTGTTGCAAGAAGATAACACCACGATTAGACCAGGTTTAGACGCGGCGGGCTAAAGCCCGTTTAGAGAGGTGAGGAACCCAGAGCTTGACCCCGGCCGTTAGATTTGGTAGGTATTCATTACGACTGCTGTCAGTTCGTGGCACTGTCAACTGAGAATTTAGGCACAACATAGGGTGAAACTCAAAGAGGAAAAATTGTTTTAATGTGTACGAGGTCCCACAGCGCTAGTTCTATGTGGTGTAAGTTAGCAATCTTAACCGACAATACCTAATCGAGAAAAAAGGAGTTACAGGCATAACAATGATGGTATTCTCTCGTATCAACCTCTTCTGTATGGGTTCTGTGAGGGATATGGTGGGCGCGTTTTTGAGACCGAGGGAGACTTCCAGTCAAAACAAATCGAACTAATCAATATGGGGATAAAAGGTTATGCATACGTCAAAAGAGAATCATACATAATATAGGATATGGTATCTGGGATAGAGTTTAATAATGTTCAATTATAAAACCTAAAGAAATTAATTAAAAAGTCTAATTTATTACTAATACCCTAATTGTTGGTGCTTCTAATTTCTAGCGATATGCGGCCAAGCTTATCGAATCGCTTATGCTGATCTTAAGATGAATTTAGAGCAATCTGTATAAGCTATCATATAGTTGATTTACTTTCTATGAAATATGGGTAAAAAAAGCTTACGTACCATGCAGACTAGAGGTCTCAGTTGTCAAGTGTAGTACGTTTTTAGTACATTACTCTTTGATCTTGGCTAAAGGGCCGGCGAGCAAAGTTATTGACCCTTTGCGATGCAAAAAGTGCCTTGCCGCAGGACTTCCGTAAGATGCCTGCGGCAGCACATCGACAGCAAGAACCGTCCTGAAAACACAATTGCAGATTTTGCTGATCGCTTATTGTTTCCACTAACGACCGTCGTTGTAAGACAGGAATATTGTTTCACGCGGTGCTTTCGTGTGGTTCATTTCTCGACAGAAACAACTCAACCTCGCTTATCCTGTATTTCAACGGGTCACTCACTAAACCCCGATGGTAGCGGTCGAACACCTAGTCTCTGGGCCCTCTCTGAGCCGATGTAAATAATCCTGTGACAGGTTCTCTACCTGCCAGAGTCAGTAGATTGTAACTATTCTTAAGATCTTACTCTACCCGGTGCTGCCTGCACGGTCACTATCGTTTCTGAACGTCACAGAGAGTATGCTTTGTCTAATGAATGAGCAGATAGCAACAGAAAGACAGAAGGTCTGAACAAAAATGCCAATACTTCATTCGAAAACTTCATTGCTGCAGGTAATGGGGCCAAATAATTAGGAGGTATGGTAAAACTGCCTTCTCGGTATTCACCACTTCTTAATGATAGCATGTTTATGGACACGACACTAGCATAACATCTTTGATGACAGTTGGTTTACGAGAAAGGAAGAGCAACCGTGCTTTATTGGCCAAAGTGGATATTTGTTTGGCAATTTTAATTTCTGACACTGAAAACATACGCTTCAAGAAGAATTTGTTTCTTCTGTAGAGTTAAGTAGATACATTTAGATAGGTCATTAGTATAATTATTATTAAGGGAAGTAATGCTATGCGAAATTGGCCGCCGTTTAACCAAAAGATACGAAGGGTATCGACACGTCTACGTATAGCAACAAATTAGAAAAAGGACACGCACATAACGTAATCTAAATTAAACCAAAATCATAATTACCATCTTTTAAAGTTGTCCCATTTAAGCTGCAGTAGATGTGATTTAACTTGCCTATAATAGCAGGTTTTTCCATAAACCGCACCGACTACGTCCTTTAATTCCCTTGAAATTGATTTAGTTATAATACGCAGCTAGCTACACTGTTGTCTCCAAGATAATAACAGATTGCAGTTATTGTAAGGAGTTTCTGCTGAGAAAACTATTTGTTAGCTCTGCAGAATAAATATAAAAGTTCTACATAGAAAAAGATAAATAATGTTTGTATCTTATTTGTACGACTTGTTTAGAATGGGAATTACTGATAGCAAATTGTGTAGGCATTCTCTAGTTGTTTACCATAGTGATTAACATTTATGTGTCGTTGTCAGTACATGAACAAAACGCTACGCTTCTTATTATCATCATTTTTCAATGTAGCGCAGTTAAACTCGCTCTTATTTAAAATGGTTTTTTTGTCCGATTTGACAGTATGGTATTATGACTATCTCATTTTCAGGGTTAGCTAAAAACGCTGCTGCAATCATTTACAACGAGACTCATGCCAATAGATAAAATGACTCAATTATAATCAATTGAAAATAGAACGATTCGCTGAGATTTTTAATTAACAACTTAGTTCAGTGTTTCATATTCGATCCCCCCAGCGTGAAGGCTACAGTTTCCATTTTATACGCGCCTATGCCTATGCTATGGTGCACTTGATAGCGCGAATCCGTCTTCAATAGAACTAAACACCGATAACTCTCCTTTCGTCGTATACAAAAACGATTATGTTACTTTGAGCGCCCTCAAATAGATTCTTAAACCGATCAGATAGCAGAGCAATCTCTCTCTTCATTTTCTGTTTATTCACAGTTCTTCATTAACAGCGGCAGCAGCATCAACGAACGTGAGCCCGGTATACATAGCTCATATTGCCTTAAAAGTACTTCGCTTTCAGCGAGAACACTTATTTAGCTAGGAATTTCTGATACGTGAAGCATTAATTAGTCATTTGCCAGCTTGGACTGCTTTCTTTCGAATGCCACCATATGAGCCAGTCTCGATAGATATCGCGCGTAGGCAGGTTCTACTTTTATCTGTTGGCAAGTCGATCTAAGGCGAGTTAGCTCCTTCTCTCTGGACGTTACCTGTTGAAGTTTTAGGTGGTCGAGCAATCTTGTCGCGAGCAATAGAGGCCAAGTTTGTATATGGAGTTCGCTAGGCAAGCCCCATTCTTCGCAGGCACCAACTACGAATGTGGCCTTTATAGCTAATTCTGAGCCTTGTTGTATTTAGTAGCTTATCGCCTGACAAATGTATAGGCAAATTAAGTAAACTAGCACTCCATCATTTATCAGATAGACTATAAAAGATAACCTAAATTAGAGAACGAAAATGATGTCGAACGCGTGATTTCTGTGCTGGCCGCGCATTTTTGAAAAAAAAAATTGTTCGCGTGATGTTCTTTGGCGTTTTGATGTAAACGTAATGGAGGGTCTAGCATTTAGAAGGAAAGAAGCGCAACTGAAATCGTCAGATGCTTTAAGTGAACTTCTTTTAAGCGAGAGGGCGTGCTCAGAGTTAAGAATGGTAATTACAATGTTTATGACAAAATATCGCACAAGAACTTTTATTTGGTACGTACTAAGGACGTCGTACATTACAAGATGAGGGAACAGAACACCCGATTTGATGTAATATCACACGTACGGTAACCTGGTGCAAAAATCCTTCTTCGAAGTTTCCCAAAGCGTTTTTGTTAGGGAATTTAGGTTACCCAAAGACTCTTATTTCCTCCGTTTCTGATATGTGCGGTTTTATTTCATTATATTAGTTATGGCTGCTTCATTGTAGTTGTTCTATTGTACCATACCAAAATAAAAAAAAATGTTTTTGCTTTGGCTCTTTTGTGGTATGTGAAAATCGTACAATGAGAATCGTCGACCTGCTTAAGTTTGTTCGTTTTACGTTTAAATCTACTGCTCCATTAAGCGTAGTTGTATGATCGAAAAATGGACACTGTTTGCTCGTATATTAGCCGTCGTCATTATATTGTAGGACTTTGGTACAACGAACTAAAATATAATGTTGATCATTTTAATGTTCTATTGGGCGAGCCATTTTATACAAGGTGACGCCTACTGAGAGCAGAACCACATGCATGGAAGGCGTTAGACTAATGTAAATGTAGACGTTCCTTGCTATGGTTACATCTGATCTTCTGCACCTTAAACATGCGGCTCTAATTCACAACTGTCCCAAGTTGACTTCTTACTATATTCATAGGACGTTTATCAGATAACTGTGCATTTTTTTTTCACATGTATGTATTTGTTTCGTATGCATGAATTTCAAAGTATGCATATTGAACATATATTGCTCTTATTGTCGATTTCGTCTAGCCGTGCACCCACTACTCGGTGCGAGTTTACATATCACATCTTTATAGGTCTTCATTGGGATGCGTTGAAAACGGGGAAGATGCCGGCAGACGCCTTCTTCCAGGCCATTTGGCCTTGTGTATGAAGTCTGCAAGATAAATTTTCACGCTTTCGTGTGCGCCGATTGACTAGTTGACGTCAGCTAGAGTTTGTTCCTATATGAGACAGAGATGAGCAGGATGGCTCTACCCTTCTATTACGAAAACGCTTCCACAGCAATGTCCAAATGGCAGCATCGCGTACGACCGTGAACGCCGCTGTCACCCGCTCACTCTTCGGATTTATACCATGTTCGGTTGTGACCCAACCGATTAACAGCTTGCGAATAGCTAAGGCTGGCTGGGGTAAACTCTGAGTGCGCGTTTTTAGACAGCGTTATGCAGACACAGACACGTACTTAACGGGCTCGTATCTTTCAACCAACGGCAGCGATGGCAATTGTCAATGAACGAATTGTCATTGCTCCGGCAACGGGACCCACTTCTAGTCAAACCACGCAACTGACTCACCGATTCCGTTTTACCTTCGTTGCTGAGCGCTTCTTCCGGCTGCGTCTTTAACTACGGTGATGTTCAGCCACTTAGCCGTGTAAGCGTTTGATCGGCTTGCAGGCTGCTAGCCTATGGATCTGTCTGCGGTTGAGTGGAGGACGGAGGTTGTATTCGCTATAATGTCTTGCAATGGGTCGTGGTAATTTGCGGCAGCAACAGTATTTCCTTCGATTTCCGAAGGTGCTCGAGTTGTCTGGGCACACCCACAACCACCAGGTTGTACCTTTTCAACGCTGGCGCTGCTAGAGGCTGTTGTGGTATCGTACCGCTAGCTTGCGCGTGATCATAACGAGCCCGTTGTGATGGTAGCTGCGGTTGCTGTGGCGATGATAGTGGCAGGCGCTACCGCCTCAATCGTTGCCGCTATAGGTGACATGCCCATAGCAGAAAGGCTGCTTTGCCTATCGGGTCTCGCTGTGTTTATCCCACATGGCTACCTCGCGTTCATTTGCTGCCCGCTCCTTTTCAAGCGGTTATGTCGGTTTCGTGGGCGCCGGACCAAGATCTCTTCGTCTGTACTCAGTATCATATCGCAACACAGATACAGATATTTTTATTGGAGGGAAAAGCTAGTAATCGGCATTTTCCGGAGGTAGGAGTGTAGGACACTGTCGGCCTGCTGGCTGGTAGGCTGGCCGGGGTACCCGATAGAATATCACAGTTAGTACTGCCCGTGTCAGCAGTATCAGCATCAATAGTAGCAACAGCGACTGCAGCAGCGGGAACGAAGAGCCCGGCGGCAGGGAACTGACGAAACCGGCCACTGGCTAAACCATTAAAGGCCACCCTCACCGCCTGCTCTCCTCTCAAATCACTGGAAGCTGGTCGCCTTTCTGACCTGCTGAGACTCCGTTGTGTTGGCTACTACATTGCCTCAAACGCACAGTTGCCATTGTCGGGGTACGAAGTTCAGCCAGACAGCCAGAAAGCCTCTAAGGCCGCTGCTTGACGCCAAGGTAGGTTTTTCCTGAATATGACATCCTAGTTTACTACTGTAAGTTACCTATGGTAACTAACTCAGTCCCATCTGTGTGTAACTGTCGGATTCTGAGTGCAGAACTTGGTTTCCTTTTACGAAGCATTGTTTAGCCACCGTCCTGTTTCGTATGGAGCGATCTATGAAGGACGCCGTTTTCCGAGAGGTGTTCGAACGTCTGTTCTTTCGTCTTCCAGTGTCGCCAGTGTTAGTCTTCCATCTGCAGTGAAAGGATTAGCCAAAATCTGTAACTGAAGTGATTCTGATAAAGACTAAGCCGCTAAGCTAACCAGTGCTAGATGGTAACGCGCAATTGTTCTGCATCAGAATCAAAAGGAACGAGCCATATATTACAACTCTTTTAAGCAGTTTAATATCCGTGGCATTTCAAACTATCCGTGCACATAGCGCACATTTAACACCTGTTATTTCAAAATCTGTACGTAGCTCTTAACAACAAAAGCTTTAAATGCTGTAGTTTAGAGCTTACTAGAAGAGTTGTTCGTAGATCTGCCCCGTAACAACGTATCCAGATAAACAAGTTTTGCTTTCGAGGTTTAGCAAGCTAATCCGGTTAAGTATTATCTTCCATTTGTATATGAGGGGAAATTACCTTCGTCTTTAGCTGAAAAACAAATTATTGAGATTCTCTTATATTACCCAACGCCAACCCAGAAGCTTAAAGAAAAAATTCTATGGGTCAAGGTTGATCAGCTTTACAATTTTTAACGAAATTTAAGCAATGTATAACAATAATAATTTTAAAGAAGATGATTTTAGATTAACGGTCCTTTTTCTTTTGAACTTCCACTTTTTAGTAATCCTCCTATATTAGAAGTCCCCTATTGAGTATACATTTAGGCCATATTTAGGCCTGAAGAAGACCCCGCCCAATAGGCAGTACGCGTGGGTGGTTAACCCTTCGAGATTCTCCGTTTTAGGAAATAGAAGCTTGTGATCTCACCAGGTCCTATGACGAGGCAGCCATATTGGCTATCAACGTTCAAAGGAGGACGAGAGTCTTTCTTCAAACTTCCTGTCCCTTCTTACCTCTGAACATCTGACCTGTAAAAAGCATCTTACCAGTTTTTACCAAACTGGACATAATTTTGCCGAATATGTTGACGATAGTGTAATTTTGCCTAAAGAAAATGGTACCAATCATATATTCTAGCACTATCCTATACGTAAGGAGTCAACGAGAAAGGTTTTACTGGATCCCATTGAATCTACAAGTTTAACTGATTCGAGGATACTACCTGAACACGTGGAGGTACCTGGATACCTTCGAACGTTACCATTATATCCAAGGCTCAAGTCTAGTCGTTTAGGTATGGTGTTGAAATACAGATTTTTTAAATAAATCTATAGTTTTTCCACCATTTATGGCCAGTGGATAGCTGATGTATGACGAGTATTTCGATAACAATTATAAAAAGCTTTAAAGATAATCCAGACAAGCAGTACTGAGAAATATTAGAAAATAATTTAAAAACATTGGAGGTGATAATACGGCCTTTAACAACCCTCGAAAAAGCCTCCTTCCCCTCCTCAAATGGGCTCTTCTCACTTTCAATAAAGTCATATCTGTATTTGACGATAGAGAACTGAAAAATTGATTTTTGACAACATTTCGCATAATTTTACGCAATACATCATCCTTCTAGATCTCTTAATCGCCGTTCTTTACTCTATTTTGCTCGCGGCATGGCCGCCTGAGCCGTCGTGCCAACAATAGCTTACAGCACACAAAAGCTTTCAGTTTCACATTCGTTTTTGTAAATTGTTAAGCTTGTACGCACTCTGATTGATTTGAGTTGGCATTTTGATTTTGTAGATGACGGACGCTCAGGTCGAAGTCGAGGAGAAGCTGCGCCGCAAAAAGGAAGAGGAAGAAGAAATGTGGCGTGAGTATGCCGAACAGAGAAAGCTTCAAAGGGCAAAGGAAGAAGAAGAACTCAGGAAGTTAAAGGCGAGTGATCAGTTAATCTCATGAGAGGCCAAACAATAGATAGAAAAACATTAGAAAGCAGCGTGGTCCGAATGGCTAGTACGCATCTTTTTTAATGTGTTGCCACCGTAACCATGCACAAATAAGCATGTGGCCATCCCTGGTTCTCTTCAGCCTTGACAAAAATTATTACTACTCTAGGTTATTACAAACGGTACGTATAGAGGCCTGCTTTATGATTACCACACCGCATCATAGGTCTGTTGAGAGAACCCCACATAAGTCTAGCAAGACCTATTTCGACTAGACGCTTAATGGGGAAGGTCCTTAGTGCTACATCTAAGAATGTGAATCCGGAGATGCAACGGAAATAGCCGAAGGCAATGGGATGTGAGGAAAGGGATTAAGCATTGTGCTAAGGACGTTTATATTAAAAATTATCCCAAAAATAATTTTAATGGTTGATGGGAACTTCATGAATGAAATGAATACATATAGAAGGATACGTTTGAGTGGTTTGAATATCACCGTTTCGAAAAATCGGTTCTTGAAACCCACCTAGCTTATATGAACAAAATGGGCGCAAATCACTTGAATTATATGAATAACCCACCTTATATTTTTAATCAATACAAGATGAAACGACCGCACAATCACCGTTGAATCCTTACATTTTAATCCAAATCATATGTTAATATTTTATAGCATTCTATTCTTCATAAGACGATCAAAATAATTGGTATTGTGTATTTATACATTTAAAATATTAGCCAAATATGTCACTATGGGATTAAGGTTGTGCTTTTCTGACCCATTATTCTGGTCCTGCCTTCATCAGGTTAAGCACATTACAGATTTCTGTAACGTACGTTTGTTTATGCATGCATGACTTTTTAAGGACCGGTACATTCTATATTTAATAATTGATATCGACGACATTTAGGATTTATTAATATATCCAGAAACCGCAATCACAAAAAGAGGTAAACTAACCTTGCTAATTTAGCTGGTTTATAGGAATTAAATAAACAAAAATAGCTTGTTGATGAACAATCACTGCGCTTACACCCATAAATAGCAAAAAGCCTTGTTAAATGAATGTCCGCTGCCCTAAGGTACCGTCGAAGCGACCCAAAAGTGATCCTACCGTTACAACGAACAGCATATACGTGAGATGCTCAACTAGGCGACTGTGCGACACGATTGCAGCAGACTCCGAGTGGGTCTCCGATGTGTGCCCCTTTGGGAATTTGTTATTCGAATGATAGCCGAAGTGTAAAAGCCTTAGAAAATAGTCTGCCTCTTCTAATCGCTCTGATCAGAGATGCCAATCAGTTCTATTGATTACCCTTGCGTCTCTGGCCTTAGCTAATCGGTTTCGTATTTTACAATCGCCAGATTGCGTCTGACCAAAGCATCATGTGTACAAACCTACGATAATCTGTTGGTCCGTAGATTAACTGGCAGTGGCTCTCGCTATGCTAAAATGCTCCACGCAAACTCACCCAACAAAAGCATGATTTCTAGTGGGACTAATGGCGCCTGTTACACCCATATCTAAAATAATCTGGAATCGTATATCGAAAACATGTAGAACGCCCGCTGTGCAGGTTGCTACCGTTTTTTGTTCAGAGCTGCGGTATAGCAGTTCCCACATAAGTAGATCAATGTCACGCTTACGATAAACGCAATAGAACTTGCTTATTGTGAACTCGAACGATGTAGGGTCAGAAGAAAGGGTCAGTACTGCTGCTATTGATCGAAATAAAACGTATAGTGTACGCTCTGAATGTGCCCAAATTAGTAACGATATCAACGATTGCTAGATTTAAACTCTATGATTAGATGTGATTTATTCAATAATTTTTAAGTAAAGGCGAATTCTTATATCGGTTTCTAGGTCCTGTATCACCTAAACGACAATTAGCAGAACTTTATCATTATAGATACTGAAAACGCTCTAATCTATGGGGGCAAGGCAAGAATAGTCGATCCAATAGCACGCTTATCTGTTTGTTCCAAAATAATTGATTCTCTGCAAACACAAAATTTACACGTCGTACAATGCATACAGCAAGCATAGAATTTGCAACGGTCGCCATATAGTCCTTTTTCTTTAAACAGGTGATCTTTCTTGAGGACAGATTTTCTTTCCGTATAAATTATGCATAGGGTTTTAGAGCCTTTTTGAAACACGCTGTGGTACTGTGTAATGATTACCAACATTAGAATAATTTTAAAAAAAATCGATTTAATAGGAGCGCCAAGCAAAGCGACGTGAGGCGCGCGCACAACAGGAGAAGCATATGGCTGAACAGAAACGCGTGCAAGATGAGAAACGGCAAAAAGAGCTCGAAGAGAAAAAGGCGCGTGAGGCCGAGGCCAAACGCAAACGTTTGGAGGAGGCTGAGAAGAAACGCCAGGTATGCGCAGAAAAACCTATTTAATGAAGATCAACTAAAACATTATCGAGAACAAGCCGAAATATTTTCCTTGCATATGCGTATGCCTTAAAAGATTTTTTAACCTTAATTTGGAGAGTGCTTGGAAGTTTTGAGTAGGTATACGTTGGAATGGATGTGTGGCAGAGTCATCTATCGGAACGTAATCAAACCTGCGGTCATCAATGCATACATAAAGTCGTTGAGCGTGCCTTGAATAATCATTGAGGCATGATTTATTCGGTTTTGTTTATTTATTATTATTAATTATTATATTTGAACTGCGGCTAATGATGCTCACAGTGTTATTGCATATTTTTGTTGAGTATAGGCCATGCAGGCTGCCAAGGAGAAAAAGGAAAACGAGCCAGTAAAACCTAACTTCACAATCATCAAGCGCGAGGATATGGATAATTTCGCCGCCCTTGGCGGATCTGGTACGTGTGCTATCAAATAACTTATTATCGTTTTATTCCGTAAAGTAATAAGAAGGAAAGTTAGTGGTTCTTGATTGTCTATGCTTTAGTATCTATTTAGCTATCTCATTTTGTTCTTTGTCAAAGGGGTGTTCGGGAAGTTTGCCAATGTCATGGCCGCTCGCGGAGAAATGGGCAAAACGCGTGAGCAGCTCGAAGAAGACAAAAAAGCAATTTTGGCAATGCGAGTTAAGCCTCTCGACTTTGAAGGAGCCACGGTCGATGACCTCAAGAAGCGTGCCAACGAACTCTGGGAGCGTGTAAAATCACTAGAGGCCGAGAAGTACGATTTAGAGGAGCGTCGTAAGATTCAGGAGTACGATGTGAGTAAATCATGTAAAGATGTTCTAGTGCATGAATACTTGACGATATATTATGATACGTACGAAGATACGTAAACACACGAATCTAAGCGACCGATTTAACTATTCATTACAGCTGAAGGAGTTAGCTGAGCGTCAACGACAAATCGGTAGAAGCCGGGCTCTCAAGAAGGGTCTCGATCCAGAGTAAGTTTATCCAAAAAACATGTCAATCATAAAAAAAATAACGGGACGTCGAGATCTTGTTAGAACCGTTGCATTTGAGTTTTGCCTGGTAATTCTTATTTAACAAGTATTTGGTATTTAACAAGTAACTGGTGTTTGTACCTGGAGTACCCAAACGTATTTTATACATCACAATTTACTATTACGTTTGCACTTACCTTGTTATATAAAGTGAACTTGCAAAATTTATTAAGGATACCTAACGATGTCGTTGATAGGCAAGTGAAAGATATCTCCGTCTCATCATGGTTTCAATAGTTTTTAATATTGCTCTGTGGCTTGGCCGAGCACTGTAAATCGATGGAGAAATACTATTTTTTTGGAAAATATATTTTTATTTTTGAAAAATTAGAGGGTGCCCTGAAAACTTAAGTTGTGTCGCCGCCTAAGCATAGTTGTTCAATTATCTGTACCAAAGTGTTAGAAATGTATGTGTGTGTGAGTCAACAATTAGGGAAAATCGCATTTACGAATTATAACTGTTAATTATTGCAAAGGTAATGGTAACGCGCCAGTAGCCTCAGGAAGCTGCTATTGTCAAAAAAAACCTGTGGCAACCAGCTCTCAAACTACTCTTGTGCTATAAGAAGCAATAATACAGCAGTCATTCATAAACAAAACGAACTAATGCCGCTGGTTCTGTTATTTTACAATTTGCTACCCGACGAGCTGCTTTGATCGATCAAGTGGTACTAATAAGTCATGATTATTCGTGCAGATATGGCACAGAGCGATTGCTTTTCGGTTTTGGCCTTTTACCTAAGTAACAGAAAATTTGGTAAATCGAAAGCTTCAGCTCTTTAAATAAAATAATAACTGTATGATTAATACTTTTGTCACTGATATTATGAAAGTTTGCCAACAAACTTCCTTTTTTTTTATGTCTTTCAGAGCCTTGCAGGGACCGCACCCGGTAAGTTAAAAGGCGATCCATATGTTGGGCAGGTCTTAGACAATATTGATGCGTTTTCTAGTCGATAGCAAACAGAAGCCTAAGCTCATGGCATTGAAAAAACTGTAAAAGTTATTATAGTCATTTGGTCGTAGGAAAATACGAACATAAGCTAACGAAAATGTATATTTCGTGACCTCTACTTCTTTTCGTTCATGCGACCTTCGTACAGCCTAAGATCCAGGTGGCGTCCAAATATGAAAGGCGCACCGATCGTCGATCCTTTACCGATAAGAAAGAACTCTTTTCTGGAGGTTTCGAAGCCCAGCAGGATGCTGAAATCGAGAAACAATGGGAAAACAAACTGTTGACCTTCAAGGTACATAAACGCACTCTCCATTATCTACCTATCATAATCGGAAAACTACTGAAAAGCCTATCGATGACCGTTGTTAAATGTTCACCAGATGTACAGTAACCATGTATAATTTTTAAATTTGCCTCTAAGTCAATACTGAACGATGATTAATTGTTACCTCGTGGTTCGTGTGCAAGGGTGAGCATAAAACATTTCTGCCTGCCTAAATATTACCAGGTTTAAACATGTTCAGCCTTGTCATCTTGTATTTCTCATAAATTGAACCTCATTGTTATCTGACGTCAATGCAGGAAACATCTGGTGGAAAGCTACCGCTGTGGGACCCCGAAAATCCCAAAAACAAGGAAGTTCTTCGTAGACGAGGTCTTGATGATGAAGATGACGACGATGACGAACCAGTATACCAACCGCCGCCGCGTCAGTCCAGCCCGCCACAGCCTGTAAGCATTTTCGCGTCTTTTGTTTGACTGTTCAGTTGTCAACCGAATAATTGATACCCACTTCGTTTACCTCTAATTAATACTATAGATGTTTGCCCCTATCACATTATTGCAACTGCATTTGTTGTTCTGACCGTTTGCCGCCCGAATCGTTTCAGACTCGTCAGGCTTCGCCCCCGCAACAAGAGGAAGAAGAAGAGGTCAGATATAGTCCTCTTCGTTCTTTTTTGTATACACCGGTCGTTAGAAGGCGTTTATCGGGTCTACGACGAAGTGGTGCCATTCTTTTGTCAAGCTGTTTGTAATATGCAACTAACTTGATATCCACAAATTTGGGAGAAACAGAATCAAATGTGGAAAGAGATAGGGCTGTGTCCAAAAGGGCCAAAATCATATATATTCTGCAAGCATACATTTTCTTCTTTGCTAAAAAATTTCCCGTTAAAAAATTACTTGTCTACTAAATTACACATTTAGCATTGTATTATGTTAGGTTACTAGGGATACGATGGCAAATAAAAATAAATTTTGTTCCACTGAATTTTAGTAGGAACAAAATTCATTCTTGTTTGCGTTCCTTTTCACGGCCTTCCTTTAACTCTTGATCAATTTATTCATTCGCCGCAATTTTGCAAATCCGATATTGTTAAATCATGAAGCCGGCTTTTAAAACCCTTTCCATTATCAAATGTATTGTTATGAATTTTGTTGAAGACGGGGCTATATAGAACTCCTTGCCAGCTATTTTCTTTTTGCCAAGCATTTCCGAATACCATCCATAAGATACGTTTTTTTCGAATGGAAATCTCTGTACCTGAGCGTACCTTCCGACACTACGCATTCTTTTTTGGTTTCATAACGAGGCGACGCGTCTGTTTGCTGCTCGGTGCCAGTCGAGATGCCGAGAGACCGAATTAAATTGTTCTCTTCGCTCAGTTTATAGGGACAGATAAGGTCCTAGCTTTTAAATGATTTCCTTTGAATAAAAATAGCTAAAAATTATCACAAAACAACAGTTTGTATTCGAGTTTATATCTTGAGCTGCTTACCCACCGTCTTCCTTCAAAAGTGCGACCAGCCTGTTTGCACCGGTAAGGATAACTAATCGATGCGCGGTGCGTTCACGCTTTCATCGTTGAATTTACCAAACTGCTTTTAAGTCTTCCCTCGGGTATGAAGTTTACGTCGCAAACGGAACAAATATCTCAGCAGCTTTCTTCATTTCGCAAAGATAAAATTTATTGCTAAGCTCGAAAATACATACTAGGATCCGCAATTTTGCTTTCCTGACAGCCTAATACTTTCACAATGCGGACCGGAGTTTCATTGAGCTTACTTTTTTGTCTGCATTACTTTTGGATCTTTCAGGAGGAGGAAGAGGAAGAGGAAGAGGAAGAGTAAATGCCCAGAAACGTAGAAACCCGCTGCCATCGTAGGAAACTGCCGCCCTCAATCGAGACCACTCTAAGCAGACGTTTGGGCCATTTCGAACTGCAGCTCTCGCTTGACTCCGGAGAATAAAAAGAAACCCCCTGGTTCATTCAGTCCTAAGCGGTTTTCACCTCATTGGATAACCAAAAAAGAAACAGGAAAGTTGGCCCCCTACTGCAGCTAATGAACTCGAAAATTGTAAAGCACATTATTCTTATTTTTGTTCTTAAGTCTCATTCGTTGAGATTAGGCTTCGATGGAACTTAGAGGATAGGATGACAAAAAAGTCAGCGTCCCATAACACTGACTGGCTGGCGGATCTGCTTATTGACAGTAACCATGTGTAGTAGCGTAACCGTAATTCTATGATGTGACCGTAAAAGAAGTAGATCGTTACCTAAATCCTGTCAATTAACTACTCTTGTTATGGTCGCAGCACCTATCATACAGTCTATGATCAATCTTACTGCTTATGAACGAGATTAGCGTCATTTTTGGTAATGATAATAGTAATCTAAGTAAGCAAATAGAGAAACACAAATTCCGCTCACGTGCTTAACACGTATAAGTCTTGGTCGACCAATGACGGTATTTGCCGACAAACTGCTAGATATCAACCGGTTGAGCCTGTGCTGTGTTTAGCAATCGCCGTTGTGTAGATGGTGTCTTGTAACACTGGCGGAGGATTTTCTATTCTGACATACATTTCTCGTGCAGCCATGTATTTGTTTCTCGGTAGGCAGAAGAAGAGAGAGAGATTGCCGTATGGAAGAAGTGCTGGACGCGAGGAATCGTGCTTAACTTCCTGAACGTGCTCTTATATAAATGCATATCACTGTTGTTATCTGTTAGACTGAAACAAAAAAAAATAAATGGAAACTGTTGCATAAGGATGAGAGTGAAAATGGATGACGTGTCTTCATTTAAACCACATTGGGTACAGCATGGCTCTTTGAAGATTTGAGGCACTATTTTGATTTGAAGCCACAAGTGGTGCCTCAAGTCTCCGAAGACGATTCTGAGGAAGGACCTCCTTGTTCAAACAAAAGAGCCAAGGAAATCCTTCGAAGCTATCTTATATGCAAATGACTTAATGATATACGGATCGAACAGGCGAACAGGTCTTCAGCAAGCTCAACGTCGGCTCCACGCGGCAGTCACAGACATGGAACTAACTATAAACCTGACCTAGGCGATGAAGTGTAAAAAGGAAGGTAGGAAAGCAGCTACTGACACTTTGCACCTCGGCAGGTCGTCTCTTTTCTATGCTAGCCAATTTCCTTACTTGGAATTGCTCTTCTCCGCGAGCGGCAAAAGTTTCACTGCACACGTTAGCGAAAAATGCAGGGAGGTAGCGATAGCCATATGGACGATCAAATCACCTCATCGCTTATCCTTCGCACCTACCCTCAGCTTGTTCAACCTTAAAGTAGCTCCGAGCGCAACGTGTAGGATATGTGTTATTTGGAAAGACTGTATAGTGGAAAACGTCAAACAATTGAATCGCGTCAAAGCTTTCTTCCTCAAGAAAGCATTGGAACTACACAAAATCGTCTTGCGTATCTCCTAACCGACTCGCCAATGCTGTCCGAAGAATTACGTCATCGTTTTGAGCAATGGAAGCCTTTAAGATGAACCTTAAGAACAGGAAGCAAAGATTCGTCAAGATTGATGAGGACTTCATTGTTTCGAGTGCAATAAAAAACAACAGGTGAAAGAGGACGAACCGATTAAATAGACATAATGTCACTTGCTTTGCCGTGTGTTAGTTCCACCCTAGAACAGCAAAAAACCTAGATCTATTGTCAGGCTCGTGCCTGTGCCCCAGATGCATGTATATATACAAAATACTAGGTGCTCCGGATGTGGAGGGAATTGTTCTAGATATCATACTGTTTGTTAACCCTATTACCATTTCTAGGACATCTAGCGAATCTATCAAAAAATTTTAATATTTTCAAACTTTTATATAATATTTGACATGAACTGTGTTGAGTAGTTCTAAATATCTTTTCTGACATTGAGATATTGTGTTGTTGACCTATATTTAGGAAGTTTTTATGAAGCTTTTCACTACTGCCAGCAAAGGTAAATAGGTAAAATTTGATGTTCTAGGATTGTACAGTAGCTTCCGAAGTTGGTCTGTGTATATTGACTGGGATTGGCCGCAGTGCAGATCGATGGCTGGCCATAATTTTGTGGCCTGCTAAATAACTTTGGTATTTTCATTCACGTTTTCTTAAGCTTTGGGAGAACTTCCTAAGCAACCTTCTTGTGCCTCTGCTTAAGCAACCTTCTGGTCATTAGGTTGCTCACCCTCCGAATAACATTGTAGAACAAGTCTTCCAAGAAAGGTTACCGAAGGTTTGGATCACTTTTCTGACCGAAATATTGTAGTTCGAAATTATGATACTAAAGACAGTTCTTCTATCTTCGGTCAAGTTCAAGGAATTTAGTTACATGCTTTAAGTGAGATTCATTTGACAGAAATGCCAAACCATCCGTGTCCGTGTCCCTATAGAGTAGGTGCTAAAAGTAGTATTGATGGACATGTAATAGTGAACATTATGTGTAAGCCAGATTCAGATTTTAATTGTAAGCGACCGCTTGCTTTCTTCAGGGGTTTACCTTCAGTGTTTTCATAGCAACAACGTGCACTATTACGAAATTTCTTACTGAGCTTTAAATATTTGAACAGGATTTCATGTCCAATTCTATTGATATTGTTATTAATTATGCCATCGCACTATTATTATACTATACAACAAGCTACTATCTAACACACCAAGTTGTCCCTTTGACGACTGGAAGAGTTAGCCAAGCCAGTGAGTTACTTTGAAGATTTTTTGAAGACTATATACTATATACTTTGAAGACTATATGAAAAACTTCTCGAACATCAGATCATCTTTTTTAGATGTCGGCGAAAATTTGCTGTAAATTGTTTGTGTGATATTCGCTCTGTGTTTTACATATGGAATATTTGCTGCTAATATTGCATAGCAGTGACTAATTAAACGTAATCATATCTAAAGCTCAATAGTTTCCGGCCTGTTTTAGGAAAAAAAAAGTAGCGCCAGTAAGACAGGCAGGCAGGCAGGCCATACACCCGATATATCATAGAGCTATGTATCCATCTGACCCTATGATGAAGAATGAACCTTAATGGGGCGACTGAAGATTGGAGTGATTCTAAGATGATTTGTAATCGATAATAGGATGACCATTTTTTAAGACAAAACTTAGTTTAAGCTATTCTTGTCTTAGCTAGCACCTTGAACACGTGAGCCCACACAAAAAGGCCACGTGTTTATTGAAGGAAACAAGGTTACAGTTGGGACAAAATAGGGTTCATTGTTACTTATATTTGCAGAATAATACGAAGACATGTGTCTTTATTACTTAGCAATAAAGACGTTATAACGATGATTACTAACAGTGGCAAAAATGACCTTGGGCCGTAACTCGTCTAGGGATTCCTTGATACTATTAACTTACTGACCCGTTTTTATTTTATTCAATCCAACTTTTATATTACCACGTGCCGATTTCACTTGAAATTTCCAATCATTATAAATCAGAGAATGGTGAGGTTATATGGGCCACACTGGACTTAATATGATTGCCGCGCACAATTGTTACTACGATAGAAGATAATACCAACGTGATTGCTATCATCTCTTCTATCTCGTTTGATTCAATGATTTTCAAAAGCGTGTCAATTAAAGATATGTTGTTAAACTATATTACTGCACAAGGTGAGACCATATAGGCCACTGATGGTTTTATGCGAAAAATCAGTCATATAGCAAAATTAAAGGCAAACTACTCGCTTTCGAGAGAGGACTAAAGAATAACTAGAGAAGACAATAACTCGTAGGCATTTATGGGCAGCGATGGTTTAGCGAAGTCAAAAATTATTATTTGTCTGCTATTGATGTTCGTGAACTTAAGCTGCGCAGTATAAAGCGGATACTTGAGTGACACAATTATCCGTAATTTCAAGGATTATGCTGTGTTCGAAAGGTGTGAGAATACTTTTAAAAGCCAATTCGATTTACTCCAGCCAGTATAAGTATCGCGGCTGTAGAAATAATTCATAGTTAATCGTAATCAATGATGGCAATGTAAAGGCTATGTTATGTAGGCACATTTCTTTAGATAACAACATGCGAACAACAAGATATGATATATTACTATTGTTTAATTCGAATTAAAAATGTGTATTCTGTCATTCAATTGACTTTAAGGCGGGTTGGTTAATTTAATTTATCTCCTAAACGAGCGATCGACGGCATCTTGTTCCGCCTATACCTGAATTACAATGGCTCATTCACATTAGCCCTAGTAACTCCCCAGGGACAGCCTGTGATATAACTTAATGCAGTGACTTTGATAAAACGCACTTGTTTGTCCATCGTTTAGAGAAATGTAGGTCCGGAATAGGTGACACTGCGATGGAGAAGTAAGCGGATTGTTTTCATTGCTTGTACATCAATAAAATACAAAAAATAATCGGCTGTATTGGGTGAGCACATGTTTTCACATTCAGTCAATGAAAAATCTATAATACCGAAAAGTTGTAGATTCCAAAGTTGTCTAGTCCTACTGAAAACGGAAGAAGTTATAATGACCCTATCATAGCCGCTGTGTGAATCGTATGGTAGTCACGTAAAAGAGCGACAAAGTTTATTGCAAAGCATTTGTTAATGAACACCCCACTTGACATAAATAACATATTCCCATCCCGTCAACGTGTTTTCATGCTAAACTTAAAGATACGCGGTGGTCTTGTTTCCAAAACGGACGGCAGAACCCAACCGTTCAAAGCAACACCTAATAGTCTAGGTACCATAGGCAAAAGACGAAAAAAATAATTTATGTATATATATCATATATAATCGTTCAAATGTTACCTCCTCCGAGTTTGGAATCTGCTTAAATGTATGTAGAGTTGAATGGAAGGTCTGCATGCCCGTGCACATATAAGAAAAAACGATGATATGAGTGAATGAAGCGAATATACGAAAAATATTCCTATACGATCTGTTCTGCTTTGGACACAATGAAGAACTGAGAAAGTAGGATATCTTCATTTAGTAAAAAAAGATAAATTTGTAACACATTTATGCAAATAGGTTAAAAAGCATTGTATCTTGATTAATCTTGCCAGTAATGACAACATTTATTTTATATCATTATACGTTATTATTGTGTACATTACGTTATTATTGTGGAATGTTTAACATATTCTTGTAATGGTTTCCTGCTTAACGTTTTTACGTTTGCATAACTGTTCATTAATATAACTATTATTTGCAAAAGGTAGCCAACTCGACCTTAACTGTAAATCGACTTTTCAAAACTTCTACGCCTTTTTTTGCAATCATCAAAATTTGCGACTTATTCGCAATGCCTCACCCATTTAAAATAAATTTTATACGAAATTTTCATTTAATGGCGTCAACAGCAGTAAAAATTCAATATGTGCTTGAAGTGACTTGTAGGTGTGCAGAAACCACACTACAAATACACAAATAACAAAAAATAAACAAAAACCCACACAATCGGAAATGCTCAGCTGAAAACTACTGACAATCTGACGCACTAGATAGGTATTCCCACAGGCTATTACCACAAAGAAACACCTAACAATAATACCCCAGTTATATTCCCAATGTAATATGAGGTCATTCAGTTTTGATCTGAGATAATGGTTTGTAACGGTTTATACTCAGATTACGATTTACGTGGTCGAGTGATGTTACGACATTTTTATATTGCCAGGTGCCTGAACAAAGTTCCTAGACCATTATTAAGCTTTAGTCGTCTTTTATGTAACATTATCTAACAATATTACGCAGGGTTCAAGATAATGATGTTGATCTGAATAGCTCCTATTAGTATACAGATATTGCGTTGCCAGAATGATGCACTTCCGGTCAACTAATATTTTAAGGATTCGTCTGCACATCTAAAGTGACTGTTATCAAGATATCATAGACTTTGGAAAAACTGAATCTGCCTTGTTTGGCTAGTTACATTCCTACAGATGAATTAGATTAGATAGCTGTTTCAAACAAATTTGGCAGACTAAGATAATCAAGTTAAACATTAAAATTCGGTAATATAATCAAATTGTGCTGCTCAAGATTATCTACTCAATAAACAAAGCATATCCATATTAGTGTCACAACACACAAGCGGCCGAAATTATGTATATTTCCCCGCCCAGTTATATTTGTTTTATAAGTTGTGAATCATAAAGAATGAGAAGAGGAAATCTAGTTCAACAAAATTAAGTTTATTTAATTTATAATGTGTGGCTCCGCATAAGATGCTGCGAGTTCTCGCGGACACAGTTCATTTGTCAGGAAAACCCACAGAGGAGTTTTACGATGAATTACCTATGTGTAAACTTCTTTACTCGGTATGCACCACGACACACCACCAGTTCTTGATGTTAGTTCAAGCGACAAAAAAAGCTCAAGGAGTAAAAGTCCCTAGCTGTTTTCTAATTCGTTACAGCAAGCTCTTGTAATTGAAATGCGCCGACGCCCGAAAGGAGACCGATCCCAAGAATCGTAATCGGCAAGCAGCAAAAGGATAAATAAAGCACAAAAAATTTGTCTTCCAGTTCATGACACCAAAACGTGTCCTCTGCTTAAATTTGTCTGCGTAAAAATGAGCAACTTATTTCACGGATCACTTCGACTAATAATTGATGCCTTTCCTTTCCCCCTTTAATATCAGCTAATATTTTGTACCTTGAACTCAAGCACATTGCGGTTCTCTTTTAAATTGGAAAATCTTTATAAGAGAAATTGATGTCAATTGTACGCAGACCAGTAATATTCTCAATTAATCGGTTATGCTTTCATTATAAATTGTTATGCAGATTGCCTTTAGAAGTTGCATCTTTAGTATGTCTTTCCAGTGAACATGTGATAGATGGTTTCTTTTTAAGAAAATTTATCATGTTATTCCTGTATTTTTGTAAAAATTGAAATGAAGGCAAAATCGGAAATTAGGAGAAAATTCGTTTTCGAAAATTATATCTTCGTTTCAAAGTGCGAACTCACGAATCAACAAAATGACGTCGGTAGACTTCTAGAATAGCGGCTTACTTTTTGCCTGTAAGAGGTACTGGAAAACAGAAGGAATTGATTCAAATGAATTTTTGACAGTGTTATAATGTTTTGTAGTCAGACGAGTACAACGCAATATACGATAGGTAATGTTTATCGAACGTAATTAAAATAATATAGTGTAGTTCTATTCAAATGCAAAGAAGAGTGAAGTCAATGTAATCCCGATCAGTCTTGTGAGAGCTAGCACCGGTCAAATAGATGACAAAGCAGAGACAGCAAAGAAAAATCACCAGTAATAATAGTATGTATTATCGGTTAGGGTATGCTTTATACGTTAAAGGTTTACCCAGGAGACCAGTGGTAATAATCCTCAGCAGTTAGCGGAGTAGGTTTATCGAATAATTTGATAAACGTTTGTATTAAATCTGAAAAATCCATTCACAACTTCAGTTGTAGCAAATTAATAAAGTCTATATGGTCTGTCGTATTCGTTAAAATTTAGTGGCCACGCAAATGATTCAATCTGTAACTTTGATCACACTGAATGAAAGCTTATCGTTACTAATTGTTTTTTAACATTACCGAGTCACAAGTTAATACTGAGGGTTAATCACAAAAAACCGACGTCTAATTCTCGCGCTAGGCGCAGTTTGTGGCCAGGTAGATAGGACGATTTACCCGTGATAGCGTAATGGGAACGCATGTGCCTGTTGGTGATGCTTTGTTTCACCCTGGAAAAAGCTAGCCGTCTGAAGTAATGCCGAGCGGCTTGATTACCAGATGAAAAACATAAAAAGCTTACCATTAGGCAAATATCAATAGACATCTGTTTTCGCCTCATCTTCTCTGATCTTATGTATCTAACCCTCAAATTAGCATGCAGTGAATTGTTTAAATTTTGACATGAAAACTGGCATCTGTACCATGCAATCGAATTCCTGATCTATCGATATAAAGTATATATCAATTGCGTTTGTTTCAAATTCAATAGAAAACATCCGTAACCTGTCCATGATTCATCTTCCCGCCAAGACCGATTTAAACAACTCCGGTTATCTTTGGAACGGACAGCAAAGAGTAATGAAAGCAGAGAGGCAGCGTTACAATACCAACGGTCGATAGGCACAGCGTGACCGAATTTTAGCTGACACCGCGTCAGCCGCCAGCTCTTATTATTGCAGCTCTCAGGCAGACCACTAAACGGAACCACCGTGTGGTATTACTTCACAGTGCGCGAAAACTACTTGAAAATGTTCGATCCAATTTTATAGTTTATACGATGCAGGACCTCGTTATAGCTATTAGTGTGATTATTGTGATCTATTAAGACACGAACACCGAAATGTTGTTGATGTTACTGTCGTGTATTATTAGCGAAAAATACTAATACGGTACCTTGAGATGTTGTGTGAAGTCAATTATATGAAAAAAAAATGCTCGATTTTTTCTAATGCCGGATTATATCAACAACGCGAGCTCAGTATTCGGAACGGAATATTTGAAACCGCTTATGTATTTAATTGATTCGTTACCTCTTATTTAAGTTGCCATTTGGTGTACACGTTATCTGACGTTGAATTTTGAGTGCTGAGTAAAAGTAGCTGCCATCGCCTGAATTTCCCAAAATCATTAACTAGTTATCCATGAATTTTATTAAGCAGTTGAGGGAGTTGATGCAATTCTTTCTACCATGGCCTGATGTCGTACTGGCTCGCGCATTCAAGACTGCTTGGTCATAGTTCCGCAGCAATCATGTTTCATCACCAGTCCTCTTGGTTGATCCGTTGGTTCTATTTACTGCGCAAGCTCGCTATCCATTCATCCGCCCGTCCCACAGGCAGCCGCATCTACTTTTGTCTTGGTCATCGGCGGTCATCATCATCACTGCCATCATTTCGCTATCGAAAATTATCGGCGGCACTAGGCTCGCGTTCGCGATCATCGGCGTCATCAATAACGATAACTAAAAAAGTCATTTCCCGTCAGTGGCCGACGACACCAAGAGCTCCTGTTGAGATTTCACCTACTCATTCGGGGCTCCTACAATCGTCAACGCTAGCTGTCAGGTCGTCTGCTCTCACCAATGCGTCTATCCTTTACGATGTCGACGGTCATCATGTTGACATACAGAGGCGAAGCAAGCGGCAGCTCCAGGACAGAACACAGCTATCCACAGCAGCCCACACAGCGGGCGTAGCTCTGTTACCCAGAGAGACAGCGTCTACGATAGCAGACACCCTTATTAAAATCGCGACAGGAACAGCATCAGGGGCTGTAGCAGCAGCACCTGATAAACTTACCTGTATCAGATTACCGCAAACATCCGTATCAGTGGTCGAATATCGGCCGCAACGTGTTGGCTCGACAGCTGCGGAAGACGGTGCCGTGCAAGAACAACTCAAAACGAGAACGAGTTGCGATTACAACAGTAGCAGCGCACACGCAGCGAAAACGCGACATTGTCGATCCTACCTCTTACAAAAATCGACAGCGGTGCAGGTGGATAATACCAACTGTGGCGGCAACGACGAGCGCAACTTGCTAACCAAATCGCTTGTTTGGGTGCCGACCTACACAAAAATATCAGCAGCGGAGGACGACTTGTTCGGACAGGTAAGCGCAGCTGTAGCGGCAGCAGCGACAGCAGGCGGAAAAGCAACAACTGCAGAGTTTATCTCACCGCCAGTTAGTAACAGTGCCAATAGATCTGTAGTCATTGGTAACGGTAACGGTTGCGGCAAGCGCAGCGCAAACTGGAGAGGATTACTACGAGACCCGTTGACAAAAAGGAGTGAGGCTCTAATTGGCACTGATAGGTATCAGAGTGTCGTGTCATTCGGGTTCTTGAATTGCCTTAGGCAATTGTCTACTGTTGGTTCGGATACTGTACGAACGGCAGGCCGTTCGACTGGTGCGTACAAGGAATACGAAGTTGTCGACAAGATCGAAGTTTCCGTCTCCAGCAGCAACGACAAGGACGACAGCAGAGAAAACCGTACTAGCAGCAGGTGCAGCAACATGCCTAAGCGAACTACGGCACCGGCTGCTGCCGTAGAGTCGGCATTTCCTGAAGCGGCACTTCTACCCAAACAGGAAACTGGTGCTCAGGCGTTTCTTGCAAAACATCCGACATACGATGGCCGAGGTGTAGTCATAGCTATTTTCGACACCGGCGTTGATCCCCGAGCAGCTGGACTTCAGGTAAGTGGCGGACCTGCGATGTTGCGAAGAAGTTTCGAAAATGTATTAATTTTACCTATAGCAAGGAATTTATTCCCTCGCCAACGGATTTTACGCACGTAACCAAAGCTGACCTAGATTATTTAGAGATTATACAGCCTTAATGGTAATGATCAAGAAGATAAGGTACCAACTGTAAACGACCATAAGCTAAGAGCTACACCAACGAAAAAGCGAAGCTGATTTGTTAGTCTACACAAAACTAAGAGTTCCAGAAAATAAGCAAAAATGCTAGTCGTGTATAGGTTCTTAGGTGAAATCTTACCAGTCGAATACATGCATTTTGTAAACGCTTCCGAACGATTGCTAGGTCTTTGTCGCGATGGCTTTTTAAAACAAATACCGAAACAAACGAAACAAATATGGGAATATTGTTTCGAATCTGTATCTTTGTTACTGTTCAGAATTGTTCTGATAACCTCAGTGATTTATGCAATAGTAAACATGAGTTTTAACTTGCGTAATTTCAAATGATGCCCTTGGAGTGTTAAAAGAAGGAACGCTTCGTAAAGAACGTAATAGCCTAACTGTAATCGTTCAGGCGGACGAACTTCTGATACTGCATGCAACATCAAACTATGCGACCAGTCACTTAATATACGTTTTTCTTAGCCTCATTAGGCCTAATACATTACAATTCCTATTTTTTTTTTACAAATATTTGAGCTATGGAGGAGAATTTAGAAGAATGCAGTCGGCGTTCAGTCCAATACGTTCCGTTTTTCAATGTAAAAGCTGCTCCCCTCTGACTTCAGAGCTTATGTGACGAAATTGTCATTAGAGAAGCATTTTTAAAATACTTTCAAAGGAAAAACTTGGGCTGGTATTTGGCCTTCGGCTGGCTGTGATCACTAATGTAACTTTATTCGAGATGCTCTGAATGCAGTTCCGCACCATGTTTGTCGCGTCCGGGTTCTGGGCCCATGTAGCACCGTACTCTTGATTCGTGACTTGTTTCTGATCTTCTGTCTAGCCCTGACTCGCCGTTTATCACACATTTTCGATCGGATTCAAATCGGATGAATTTCCATTTTATAGCAAAATCTTAACGTCAATAACGGTAAATACCTCAGAGGCATAATATGTCATATTATGCGGTAACTCGTCATGTATGAACACACAGTAGCCATTTGGAAATCAGTCTCTTTTTTAAGGCAGCATTTATGTCTGAATTAGCTTACAGTATCGTCGTTTTTCCGTAAACCCGTTAATGAAATATAAGGTTCTTACATCGTAGATGAAAATCACAGGCTACACCTTTATTTTGCTTGAACGTTTTACCTGCTGGATTATAGAGGATCTATGGAAAATTTTGTCCGAATGCCTGTAAAGTGTTGACGTTACTAAAAATATCAAAACGGACTCTTTTTCACACTTCCATTATTCGACTTTAAAATTGTTTAGCCCAGTTGGAACACGCATACTTCTCTGCGCAGTTTAGCCGAAGTTTCCTGGCTGGTTTTCAACAACTAAAATGAGTTATTTCAATATAACGTCGGAACGTCTTTACGGACACAATAGCAGAAAATGTTGCAAAGCGGTCTTTTTGTATATATATATATATATATATATGGCTTAGTGGTCCTGTTCCCCCCTGTCTGGTCTACCGTTTTCGATTTTCGTTTTCTATTTTTTTGAAGCACCTTTGCCTTCTGGGCTATATTGTCAACTTTCAACCCACTCAACTATTTTTCTTCGCGATGGCTTTTCTTGTACGAGCCGGGCCATTAGAGTCCATTGGCTTTCCGTAAGGTCTTCTCGTAATCCCATTACGGGTTTATGTATAACAAAACCACAAAAATAATGAAATTCAGTACGAAATAGCAAATGATTATAAAAGAAACTCGTTGTTATCAAACAAGTGGGAGCAAGTATCTCAAATCATTTCTGTTTCTCCATGAAACAAAAGAAGATAAATTCGGAGGCCTGAACTGTGCATGATGACTTTAGTACTCGTACTTGCTGTGATAAACAGCTGTTGTACTACATATTTTAGCCAGTCTTTTTTTTAATAGCAATTTACAAATGATTCTCTATAAACAGTGTTGTTATGTGTTATCATTAGAGCAGAAAAGGGCAGCTTCCATATAGAAAAAACTGCACGTAGATATTTACTTCAAGTGTGAATTTATCTTTGATGAAATTCGGTAATATGTCATTTTTCGGTGTCTCTATTTGATCGGCTACCAACTGTATGCTTGACCAAGTCACTCTTAAGACTCCTCGACGCGAAAAACTTTTTTTTGAATGCTGGGAAGGTGTAAGGCTAAAGGGTAACACTCATGAAATTATTAAGATGTTGATTTAGTACATTATAAACCTCTCATTCTTGCCTTAAAAATTTTTATGGAATTGGGCCTTTTGTTGTCACGTCCGGACATATTGGTATATATAGTTCGCGAATCCAGGAAACCCTATACAAAAGATTTTCAGCCATCACGAACCACATTATAGCCTTTGGACCCTGGGCTGCGTGCGAATGAAGCCTATTTCCTGCAAACCTACGGGCGTTGACCCCACTATGTGTTTGAAAAATGTCTATTAGTAATTAAATACCAGACTGCCAGTGAGTAATTTAATACAATATTAACATGATTTTATCTTTTGCTATGCCATATAACTATGAACTTCAGCTGTTCGTGAAGTTTAGTCGCTTTAAGCCTTCCTCAATTTACGCGCCTGTGTAAATCGGTATTTTGTAGAACTGACTCAAAATATACTATGGATTCGAAATACAGCTCATGCATGGATCCTTGGTGAGCATATATGACCATGTGCTTTCTTGTCTCTTATTCCATGGCCAGGTCACGACCGATGGAAAGCCAAAGGTTATCCAGATGTTTAATTCGTCAGGCGCGGGCGATGTCGACATGCGGACACAGGTCACCCCGGAAAACGGCATCATCAAAGGAATTTCAGGACGCTCACTACGTATCCCGGACTCTTGGATAAACCCGTCGGGTAAGAAAGAATAACACACGCTTAATCCTGCTAGAAAAAAGGGTATGCTTATAGGAAATGTTGCTTATTTGGAATGGAAAATTTATCAGTCTAAATCATTTGTTATTTCATGCGTAGTAGTTCTTGTAATAGTCATCTCTGGGCAGTTCCGAAGACCAACAGATGCACAATACAAAAACAGATTTCTCTTCGTGCTTAGATTCACAGATAGAGAGGGCAAAAGGAAACAATACAGCCCTTGATCTAACATTAATTCCATAACGGTTTCTTTGCCCAATCAGGTAAGTACCGGATCGGTTTAAAGTCTGCATTCGAGCTCTACCCGAAACAACTAAAGGAGCGTATGCAAAAAGACTACAAAGAAAAGAACTGGTCAGGCCTTCTCCAACGAACTCTCGCAAAAGTTACCAAGAAGCTGCAACGGCTTGAGACGGATGCACCGAACGAGAAAATTTTGAAAGAAGAGTTGGAGGCTCGTGTCGAGGTTCTTACAAAGATGGACAAAAACTATATTGACCTTGGACCCGTCTACGACTGTTTGCTATGGCATGATGGCACTTCATGGAAGGCTGGTAAGCTCTGGGCTCTTGCTAATCGCAAATGTGTTATAGGTCATGCAAATTAGTGGATCTGCTGTAGCCGCGCAAGAAGTTGCATAGGCAAATAGAAAACTTACTGAATTGCATGTACAGCTTCAAATCTAAGGAAAAGATGTTTTTCGTTCTCTCAGCCGTGCACAATGAGCACCTTGGGTGAACACATTAGAAGTTTGAGTTTTTTAAAGTATTAGTTCCTTATCATTTTGGGTTTGGAATCTCATGTAATATTGGATGTATCATTTAACCACAACAGCGCTGCAAAGCTTTAAAGCAGTTGGAAATTACAGGACATTTTGTGCCAGTGGAACGTGTTCTTGTTTTTATTTATCATGACGATATCTACCATTAAATAACTAGTTACTACTAATATCTCATTGTTCTTTTTCCTTTGGATTCCGACTATCCTTTGCATTGAATGGTCAATATTCCAGTACTCGACACTACGGAAGAGGGCGATCTCGATAAATGCGAAGTGGTTGGTCCCTACGCGGAAACCCTTAAAGTGTCCGTACTCCTTGCTGAGGATAATTTCAGTTACTCAGTAAACGTCTACGATGATGGCGACATTCTTGAGATTGTCGTCACCGTGGGTGAGCATCATGACATGCTTCTGTATAGACGCTATATTATATGGTAGAAGCATTGGCTTACGCTGAAAGAACATCGCAATTTTTCACTATTGTTGTTCGCTAGATTACGCAAATGTATCGAAACGTGCTGTGTAATTCTAGTGATATAACGCTCCACAGTTGAAACAAAACAGTTGTCGGGCTGTGTATCGTAGTCATTTACTATCACAAAAATACAAGCGAAAAGCTTCACGTAAACTTGACCCATCTAGTTTCTTTGTTGCGGTATTACCACCAGGTGCTCACGGGACTCATGTGGCCTCAATAGCAGCAGCCAACTTCCCAGACAATCCTGCTAGAAATGGGGTGGCTCCAGGAGCACAGATTGTATCGATTACCTTGAGCGACAATCGAATCGGTACAATGGAGACAGGAACCTCACTCTACCGTGCTATGGCCGCCGTCATGAAGAATGATATAGACGTCATCAATATGAGCTACGGTGAAGTTTCAAAATGGTGCAAGGGGTAGGTTGTTCGGTGTTCAATGATTATTGCTGGGCGGAAATACTATCCAGTCTTTAATAGGGTAATATTTTCTGTGTATCTTCTGTTATATTTTGATTCCTAAGCACTTGTCGATAACTATCGATTGTATCTTTGCTATAGCCGTATTTGGGAGTATCTCGAAGAGATGATCAACAAGCGGGGCGTTACAATGATGGTCTCTGCTAATAATAGAGGCCCTGCGTTATCTACGCTGGGTACGCCTCCTACCCAGAATGCTGTTGGTGTCGGGGCCGTTGTGACTCCTCATATGATGGAAGCAGAGTATTCTCTGCGCGAGAAAAGCGCCACAGTGGAGTACAACTGGACATCACGTGGCCCAGGGTAAGTCATATGGATACTGGCGTCAGCTATGGTTACATCAAAATAATTTGTTTTAAGTATTTTCAACAAGAAAAGTACCCTATCTGACGTCCTATGTGCAATATGACGAAGCGTAGTGCCTTACCTTCGCCTTACTTCTTACTCAATTTCGTTTTTCACTCTTGTCTCACACTTGATATTCTTCTATACAGAATCGACGGCAGACAGGGCGCCACAATTTGTGCTCCGGGAGCAGCAATTACTTCAGTCCCGCCGTATATGCTACAAGGCAGTCAGCTAATGAGTGGCACTTCGATGGCCTCGCCAAACGCAGCTGGCGTTGCAGCGCTTCTTATTTCGGCCATGAAACAAAATGGCATTAAGGGGTCGCCATACATGTTGAAGCGTGCCCTAGAAAACAGTGCCGTGAAATTTTCCTCGTACGATCCGTTCACGCATGGTCAGGGTCTCGTTCAGGTAGAGCGTGCATGGGATTGGATCTTGTCAGTAAAGAACGAAAAGGAAAATCTGTTGAGATTCGAATTGAAGGCGGACGCCAACATGCGAGGCATCTATTTAAGGGAACTCTATGAGACATCGTCGCCCCAAATTAAAAGTATTCGAGTCCAACCCGTGTTCGTGAATGAGAAGCAAGTGCCTCATAAGCTCAAAACTTGTAAGTATGGTTCTCTGATTTCCGCTAGTCGAAAAATCCAGTTTGCATGAGGCTTGTTGATCTTATTCTTGTTCATAATTTGGTGTTTTATTTCAGCGTACGACCAGAATTTTACTCTATCATGCGACGCATCTTGGGTTCAGATACCGACAGTGTTAAATATGATGTACCAGGAGCGAATGATTTCGATTAAAGTCGATCCGACAGGCTTGGAGGAGAACCAAGCCCATTTCACGCAGATTGAGGCCTTTGAATCCGGAAAGCCTGACAAGGGACCCGTGTTTCGTATTCCAGTCACAGTAATCAAGCCTCAAAAGTGAGTGCGTAAATCACGTTGATTTCTATTTCTTATATCTTGGCATTATGTACTGCATTTGCTAAATTTCAACACAATGCACGGATAATTTGCCAATTCATCTAAAACCGGTCTACACATACTATTTTCTTTTGCTTAAACGAATATTTACAAGAATAATTGAATAGCACATACTATTTATTAAAGAACTGTATATATTAAGTGATGAACGCCATATTTCATTTTCTGTATTGCATTTTACACTAGTTATATTTTGTTCTTTTTTATCCTTAAAACTTTATTTGGAGCGGAACTTTTTAACCATAGCTGTTTATGGGCGGTTCTCTATTAAATGTGTTTACACATACTTTTTTTTGTATTGATATAAGACTTTAAATTTGATTATTAATTTGTGCGCATTTCCAGGCTTCCTACAAATACGAATATGTTTACCGATAAAGTTGTTCTCCGACCAGGCATGTCCAATCGGTGTTTTCTTGTTGTGCCTTCTGGCGCTACGTGGGCTCTCATCAAGCTGAAGTCACTCGATGCAGTCAATCCTGGCCAAGTATCCTTGCACACCGTACAGTTGGAACCGGATGCCTCGTTCCTTGACAACAGTACAAATAAGATGCCCTACCTACAACCGTTAGGCGAAATGTCGTGCGCTATCCCAGTAATACCTAATAGGACACTGGAGATCTGTCTAAACAAATGGTGGACGTCATTTGGCGAAATGCAACTTGCGTGGAGTATCCAGTTTTTTGGATTGACTCCGAACATGACCAACCTTTACATGGCATCAGGGGAAGGGCTACGCCGAATCGACGTGTGTGCTTCACTTGGTCCCGAGGAGGTAAACCCTTCGATTAGTCTGAAACAGCACGTCATCGTTCTGAAACCGTCGAAGAGCAAGATTTCTCCCGGAGATTCCCGTGATACGATTCCTGAAGGTCGAATTGTGTATGCTGCGACACTAACCTACGTCCTTAACTTGGTGCGTCCAATGATTTAGAAGCTGCTGCGATTGTCGATGGTAGCTTGTTGCCTCATTCTTATACTATTTTGAAGTAGTGGTATAGTGAGTCAGCTTTCAGTACTTTTTCATTGAAAAAAAAGTATCCAAAAGGTACACAAAAAGGTATCCATAGAACGGTCCTTAATGTACCACAGCGGCTCATTAGTTAAGAACGTTTTACGTGAAATAATTACAGTTAAATTAATTATTGTCGGGGCCACGGCCCCGAGGATAATTCAGTATTAAGTGAACGTTACGTACTCTACAGGTAAAAGGCGGAGAGGCGATCATCGGCACTCCCCTGTTGCACAATTACCTCTACGAAAGCGAATTCTGCTCACAGTTGTGGATGCTCTATGATCAAAATAAGCAACTCATAGCATCCGGAGACGCGTTTCCTGACCGGGTAGGTATCGTGGTTTTGAGGTTTCGATTTTCCGCCCTTTGTGTATTTTAGTAGAACCGAAGTCTAAAAAAAAAAAGCGGAATGTACAGTGTGCATCTCATTTCACTCTGAGAGGACATCAGTTTTATTAATGACCATATGTGAAATTCAGCTTTGTAACATTCGATCTGTTTGAAGGCCTATACATGTGGATTTTTTCGACTTTAAAATATTTGCAGAATTTTTTTTCTTGCTTGTGAAATATACTTTTTGGGGTAATACATGTTGTTGATGTACACTGTGTACATTTCTCTGATCTCTGCATTTATTCGCAGTACGCTGTCAAACTAGAGAAGGGCGAGTACGTAATCTTAACACAAATTCGTCACGAAGATCGCACACTTCTTGAGAAGGTCACCCAGGATCTTTCGCTCCAAGTAATAATGAAATTGGGGTCGACTATCAACCTAGACGTGTATTGTTTCGCCGCCCAGGGTATGATTCAGGGCAAAAAGGCGTCGGCGATAACATTGCCTGCAGGGCATGTTAAGCCATATTACATCGGACACGTTCCCAGTGACAAACTGCCAAAGGGTGCAGCGTCAGGACACTATCTACAAGGTTTGAAACACGATAATCAGCTCTTTATTTGCTGTATTGACTTGTATGATTTGCGGTTTTTATTGGCATGTTGATAGCGTTCTGAGATATTGAACTTCGTGTGAAATGTTCGATTATCGGGCCATCATTTAAAAATCAAATTCTAGAGTCGTCAATCATTAAGTATAAGAACAGTCGAAGTTATAGCCGTGATATACAGTTTGCTAGGTGCAACTAGTAACTGCTGTTATTTGAAAACGCAAAAAATCTGGCGTTGTACTTGGTTTGTCAGCATTCAGGCGCATCATCGGTGAGGACACGTTTTCCATTACAGGTACTCTAACCTTAACAACAGACGAACAGGGGAAGTCAGCAGCTACCTTCCCGTTCCGTTATTTCCTAAACGAGCTCTCAAGTAAAAAGAAGGCCGGCGATAAGGACAAAGGTGACAAGGACGGTAACGGACAAGCGGCCAAAGATGCCTTGAAGGACAAGGATAATGGAAGTTCTCCGAAAGAGTCTCCGAAAGAGTTTAACAGAGACTATACCAGTCATAATGGCCAGTCGGGTAAGGAAAAAGAAAAGAAGACCACAGATGAAGAGTTCGAAGAGGCCGCGTGCGATTTCTGTGCCACACATTTAGTCCGAACTGGCGGTGCCGCTGTGGACGCGATGTACCAAGATCTCATTAAGAGGAATCCCCAAGCGAACCAGATGATACTTGCTAAGATTCACTTTTTAGCCAAGAAGGATAAGGAGCATGAGGTGCGTTTTTGTAGTTAAATGATATAGGTGAACAGAAACAAGAATGTGTATTTATGTCACCACTATATAATGTAGTAAACAGATATCTGTATATTCGTTGATCCATTTTCGCTTTGGTAATTAAGATTCAGTAATTATATTACTTCTTTTCTACTACAGGACAAGGACGAGATGTCGAAACGCGAGGAGGTTAATAAGCAAATAATTGGTTGTGCTGAACAAGTGTTGGTCAATATAAATCCAGAGAAGTTGCTTCTGAGTTTCGGTTGCCGGCAAGACAAGAGCGATCTGGCCACTTGCAAACAGTATGGACCTTACCAAATTTTAGAAATCATTATATCGTCCCTTTGCTATAACATCTGTGTAATATTTTGACTGTCTATATATGCGAATCAGTAATTCGGCACGATTAAGAGATGCAAATATATAGGATAGTCTTCAATAATGACTTACTCAAAACATGTGGTGAACCACGCTATGAAGAAAGGTTACTGTGCAGCAAAATCGAGGGGCATAATTAACTCATGAAAATAGTCGATTACGTTAGATGTGTAAACAAAAACATGCAAAATGCATATTTTTGAAAGTCAGAAATATTTCGTTAATCCATTTGTTTGAAACCTCGCCAATGATATCTATACGACAGGTATAACTATAAAAAGGAACAACAATTTTGTTAAATAGTAATTTTTATGGGACTACGTAGTTGCCATGGGCTAGTTTCTCGCATCCAATTTTGTTTCAATTTCATTAACTATCCGATAATTTCTAGTCCCTGAATTGAATAACGAACGTCTTCTTATTACTTATTGATAGGCATACAGTATTTGTTAAAAATATTATTTGTTTTTTAAGGCTGGAAAAACAGAAGCAGCTTGTTGTGGATGTGCTGACGAAAAAAGGTGAGGCACTGTGCAATCTGCTAACTCTCAAGCAGACTCAATCCCCGTCGTCTGCTCCAGACGATGCGCTTCGCGCGAAAGTCGATGAGGTCTACACGGAATTGCAACGATGGGTCGATCCATTGAATGATGTGAAGACAGCATCATTTATTGAGCGATACCTCAACATCACGGACCAGCCCGGAAAATTGATTCGGCTTCTAATGCGAATACAAGAGGATAAGGCGACGATTGAGACAGAAAATAAATTGCTCGAGGTGAGTGAACCTTTGTCTTCTCTTTTGAATCGTTAACTTGTTTTGCTGTTCCATCAATCGTATCAAATGAAAGAGCTCTAGGATGTATTTCATTGTTGAATTTAGGTTGCTTAGAAAGAAAATATTATTTGCACTAATAGCTTTATAACTAATATTTCTACTAATAACTTTTTCCTGTGACTATTATTCCTTTAGGCCTATAAAAAGCTTAATTGGCAGCACTGCATCAAACTGTCGCAGCGCCGTCGGCTCAACAAATTTTCACCGATCTATCGGCCTTTCTAGGTTCCCTTGAAGGTATATAAGAATTTTGTTTGGCTGCCAGTGACCTAACGGACCGGCCTTCACACTATATGGAACACGGCTGATGTCGTCGAAACATTACTCAACCAATCAGTTGGCACTGATCAAAGCCAGACCCTTTTGGCTGGCCACGGATGGTGGTATGCATGATGATTGTTATGACAGTTTGATTTTTCATGCGTTTTTTTGTCGTGTCATAATGGCACCGGTGATGTTCCATCATGAGTCGTATATGCTACATGTATAACTTGACTGCTGAAAAATCGTTGGAGATTGAAGCACGTATTCATAAAATATGAGAAAAAAGAGGAGAGGCATTAGAGCTTATTTCGCAGTGAGCAGGTTTGTAAATTGAGAAAAAACCTGTAACATCTGTGCGACGAACGCCTACAGACGAAAAATAAAGACGCATTGTGCCAATGAGTCATTTTTCGTGTACAACATGGTATTGACGACAGTTTGAAAAGCGTATGGAAAGCCTAAAAAAACCGTGGCGGGGATGGAAGGGTGTCGGATCAGGGGTGTTACTGTCGGGATAATGAATGCAATTAAAGATCAATGGAACTGTGTATTTCTTAGGCTGAAGGGAACTGGCGTATTTGGGCTCGTTATATTGAAAAATGTATGCTAGAGAAAAAGCAAATTTGATAACATGTAAACGTTTAGAGAAAGTGCTTCGAGGGGAAATTATATAGAATATGAGCACAATTGCTCAAATAGTTCTGTTAAGGATTTATGTGTCACCGTAAAACTGAAGGCGATGAGCACAATAGCTTGTCGAATTCTAAGTAATTCTCTGGTTCGATCGATGTCCGCAAGGAGAGCTTAAAGTAGGAATTAAATAAAGCAGAAAAAGTGCAAATGCAACCAATAATATATCAAAATGCGAACACAACTTTTGTATAACATTGAATGCACTATAAGTATACTGTCCGAAAAATCAATTTAACAGCCCCTTAGACTATTAATTAATTCTAGACCACAGAATGACGAAAAAAATGATTTACGAATGTAGTAATTTAGACACCAATAATGGGCTGTGAAAGAACTGTCGCAGCTCATTCATACAGAGGAAAGTTTACATCAAACAAAATTTAACTGGGTGATTTCAAGGTAACTCGCGCTAATAAATATTAAAATCAATATAGATTTATTAAATGCCATATATACATACACAGACCATCTATGCAATGCAAGTCTGTTATATAAATAAATAAACTCAATAAACAGAAGGCTATTATCACTCTAGCTGTCCATTTAGAATTATTACTATAAGTAAATATTATTATAATATAAATATTTCAGGTTAGCCTGTTTTAAATACCACATACATTTCATATTCTAAACGAGCCAAATTGTCCCTGGTGTGTGCGGAATGACTATATAGATAGTGGAAAGGAAACTTATATATATGAATATATATTAATATATATATAGAAATAATTTTTAATGTTTCGGTATTAAATTTAGGCCTAACAAATCCAATGGCAATATCGAAAAACCTGTTGCTTGGCAACGCAGTGACGACGTGTTTGTTCACTAAAGGTGTAGATACGTCGTAGTCTGGATTCAAATCCGTGTGCTGAGGTAGTCGTTGCGTAACAATTCAGTAACTGGACACGAGAGTGGAAATATTTTCCAAATAAAAATCAAAATTGGTTTTAATTAGGTAAACATTTAGGAGACTCTTACGTAAAGCTTAATCAGAAACTACTTCTATTCACGAGTAAAAAAATTATGTTATTAGATAATTGGATTACACTAGGTAAGGTGACTGCTTCGCTTGAATGTAAATGAAATATACTTAACATTTCAAATACATGCGTTTTGAATTAGAGAAGGTGAAAGCGGTGGCTACATACGTGCGTGAACCGAACAACCAAGCCATTTGCTACAAGTTTTTGGAATTGATGACTATTATGAAGCTGGTTTTCTATGTCTTTTTACATTCGATGTAAATGTTTCGTATCGTTTAGTTATACTGACACTATCTAAAGCCGCTGAGTACCCCTTTTATTCCAACACCAATGCGTAATTCATTCATACGTTAATAGCTAAATTTTGGCAGTCGCCAAAAGCTACCAAATCTCTACTACTCATAACTGAAATCTCTCATAACTCATAACGAAGATATTAACATCTTCGTGATGGTGTAGTCATACAGCATTTGTCTTACAAACCTAAGGACACGTGAGATGGTTTAAATTCGAAACTAACGCTGACAAATGAATACTTAATGCATTTAGGGGTAAATTAACTCGAATTATACAATCTGTGAAGAGATTTTACGTACCTTATTGAAATCTCATGGACTATTTGTTTTCTGCTAGAACGAGTCCAATCGTGTCGGAAGCAATTACCAGCGGCGCTACCGAATATCAACTTTGTATCTACTTGTAGTTTATCCAAATAATATATTTAAAGGACATCCCTGTGATACTTATTTAACCTAGCAGGAACAAGGTGCTATTTAAATGGCATCCTAATATTTTTTACTTTAAAGTGCCACATAGTCGTCTTAGAAAAAGCATCACAACATATAAACAGTTATAAATTGATGAACCGCAGTTACGAAAATAAACGAACGATTAAAATAAAGTTAGTGGTTTATATATGCTGGCCTTTTTTCCTTGTAGACATGATCCACATCAATATAAATACTAATACTAATAAAATTTATTTTCATTAAAACTGTTTATATCATATATTGCCATGCACTCGATGATCCACCACTTTTGGTAACAATATTCCGGAACACGATGGCGTACCCACAAGGTGCTGATCTGGGCTGCGCATTCCAGGACCGTTCGAAGCACAAGGCCCACTGGGACACGATCCAGCTCCCAAATGAACATTTTGTTTGCTGTTAAACGGGGTAATGCACTGTAAATTTCGCCCGATCTGATGGGAGTGCAATGCAGTGAGTCCTGCCATTGGAATTGGATAGGACGACGCTGACGGTTGCGGAAGATTTCTATGCTCAGAATAAGTAAAGACAAAATACAAACAAAGGTTCGAACACGAAAGAGAAGACATATTGCAGATACGACAGCATCGGAAAATTGTTTTCCTTCCAATTAAAATGACACACACTTTGTTCTCTGCCATCTTCTACGACGTAAGAACTACTGACAAAATTAAGCTGACTATTTAAATTACGCACGTTCGAAGATAGTATATTTAGTAGTTAGTATAGCGAATCAGTGTAGCCCGAATAAACAGTCAAGTGTACGGTCAAATTCAGCAAATATAAATACCTGCTTGTTATCGCAGCGTATACAAGATAACTTAGAAAGTTACCGTAGAAAAAATAGCTGATTTCATCGATGCACTATCATTTTCCTAGCCTCGCAACAATGCATAATGTCAATAATCTTTTTTTTTTGAAACTTTGAAACAACTGACCCGCTAAGCTGCAATCTCAGCAGACGTCGAGTTATGGCAGCCACACGTTGACGCAACATAGGATGCGAGGCACAACAACCGTCAAGCAAGTTGAGATAGTCGTTCAGTACCGTACTCCATTGTTCAAGACTTCGTAGCGTTTGAATGTGGGCACGCTGGAATGTCGTTGAGCCTCCTATAAGAGGCTGGCTGGCGAGCATAGCCGTAGTTGCCATTGACGAGAGCGGAATCGGCGGGGGTTGCGGCTGAAAAGCTAGCTGTCCATCAAGAAACGCGCGAAGATTACCTAACGCATGCGCAAATTCCGCCTCGATATGTCCGTGGGATGGGGAATTTGCTGCGTCCGCCGCTGGAGAAGACATAGCTACCGCGGTTACCAATGAAAATGGTCAATGATGTACTCACAAATTACAACATCGAAGCTGTTTGGCTGTGTTTACCGTTCGATTTCTGCTTAATGCATCTACGCTCATTATAGAGGTGAAAATAAACGAAGTGGCGTTTTTTTTAATTTGCTTATGGGTCATTTGAACGGAGTGCCATCGAATTACGAATATGGTAGAAAACTCTGAGTTGTGTGTAATAACGTAAACCTATTTCAAAATTAATCAAAACAGTGAAGCATAGCTTTCAGAGCTTTGAGACCCTAACTAATGCAGAATTTAGAATAAAGTTGCTGGTGCACTAAGGCGTGCAATGGCTTTCTTTTGTGCCACACTCACTCTTTATGAAGCTAGAGTTTCCGGGGTCATTGGTGAAAGGCTACTAGCGAAGGCAAATGCGAACCATTTCTCATCAAGAATGTCTTCAGTCCCAACCTCGTATTTTACTTTCACGAGAAACATACACCGATGCGGAAAAATCGCAAACATTTTTGTTTCGAAGGATTCAGTAATGACGTAGTCTGCCGCTTTCAATGTTTACCTCGAAATTTCAGCGTCGTCATATTCTATGGACAAAACGAAAATCTTTTCCACGAAATCCTGACTACTTGACTTATAAGCATAATGATTAAATAGTTGATTCTGCTTAAACTTACATATTAAATACAAAAGATGGGTTACTCCAGATTGAGAAAATAGAGTAAAGAAAATAAATAAAAAATACATCCAATAGAGTTCGTCCTGGACTTTTTGAAAGGCACTTCAAACGTCAGCACTGGCATAAAATCCGCTTTTTGCAGATGATCTTAGCAAGCACTGTCTCAGAGCCTTAGTCACGTAATCAGCTATGGAAACGCTTTTTTATTGATAAAGGGATTATTGTAATTTCACCCTCCTTAAAGATGTTTTTCGTAAAAGTTTTTTGCGCGATCTCTAGTACAAACTAATAGGTTCATGCATTAGTAGGCTGCTCAGTAGTGGCAAAAAAAAAAAGTAGTGCAGGAGTAGTGGCAAAAGTCGTATACTATAAAACCGATTTTACGCCTATAAAGAGGGGCAAGTGAAAATGAATATACATCCATTAATTTATCTAATTATTAAAATATTTATACCAGAAAGTATATCGGAGCACTAACGAGTTCTCGGAGAAATGTCTATAACTTACGCAAAAACAGCTGTCGCTGATTATTTGAGATTACGTTGGGGGAGACTCGTGAAGCTTGTAACAGTGATAAAACCTGTTGCTGTGTCTAGCTACATTGTTCGCGTTGTTCTACTGTAGTTACATTCGTCGATCTATTTTTGTTCGCATATTCTAGAATAAACTAGAAGGATGAACTCCGGCCATTACTTGTTCATTCATTTCCGTTGTACTTCATTCCGTAGAATGTATTTATACTGCTACAACAAAGTTGAGTTGTTTTGAGCGTAGGTAATGAACAAACTTATATAAAATCGGAGGCAAAAAATAAATTATTTGGACTTAAAGGAGCAGCGTCCGTTTTTAGGGGTTGTTTTGAACTTTTCAGGTTGGGATTTGTTGGCCAAATTACGGCCATACCAACATCGCATGTTCCAAAGAAGCATATAAGATATTTAAATTATTGTAATCTCTATAGACGCTCTGTTAATTACGATTTTGCAACGGTACTACCACTCATTTAACAGAAAGTTCTGCTGAAATGTGGGTTACATGTTAGACGTATAGTTAGGACATTATGTTGCTATTGATACTGTGATTTAATGTCGGAATAAACCTAGAGATACCTCACTCGATATTCGTATGAAATGTTACAGAAATCTAGAATGTTCTTAATCATTTAACCGTTACAACAATTTCAGATTTGTTTGTGGTGTAGCCTGTAGTCATTTGTTGGATAGCTCATACCTTGCCTAATTACGTGTGAAAATGCTTCAAATTATGAAGAAGAGCTATATAACTGGACCCGCTATATAGGCCGCGGATATAAAGGAAATTATCCTTTGTAATTAATTATCAGTCAATCAACAAGATCGCGATGCGGACTTGTACAGAAATTCGCATCGTTGTATAGTAGTCCATGCTATTTGGTTTTTTCGGGAGATAGTCGAGGTAATTATAATTTTTTTACCTTTCTGAATTGCTGATTTCGCGTATATAAGGTAGACAAGGACATTATGATAAGTATCTAGCAGTAAAGTAGCAAAAGCGAAAAAAGGATAGGTTAAAATATCAGCTTAATAGAGTAGTCGCCTATTGATGATGGATGACTTCACTATTTCATTCAGCGGAAGAAGGTCTTTAGCGATCCCTAACTTACTCTCCACTCTAACTATTCTATATATGGGTGTTGAATATAGTATATGGTGATAAAATATTTTGTCAAGCTATTCTCTGTAACATGTCTTTTTTATGCGTGTGTGGCTGTGTGCTTGAGCTCACAACACAAATGAAACAAATAATTTGGATCTCATTTGCTAAACGTATTGCATTTGACAGTTAAAATAATTCTATTGAAAAACAGCTTAAGCACGACATTTCACCGTTGTACCTAGATGCTTATTCGTCTATAAATTTTTAGAAAATGTCACTCATTTTAAAAAATGTCTCGCCTTTTTGTTTAATCATGCTTGTCGTGTGGCATACGTCGTTGGTGGGGCTAAAACTAGTGATCTCTAGCGTCAGATATTCATGCACTGGACGCGTAGTCGCCTGTATTGTAGCATTTTCTTTTGAACGAAGCACAAGCTCCCTCGGTCCATGCTACGGATTGAGGAACTTTTGTGGCGATGGTAATTATGTTTTTGATGAAACTAAACTCACACTGAAGACAAACGAGTTTAGACAACTGTGAACGGACGTATATTAAAAGAACGTATCCATTAATAAACCCTCATAAACGTTGAAGTTTTTTACTCTAGCAGCGAATCTCTTCGCAAAAAAGCGAAATGAATAGTGACGTAACTGACTTTGCCCATTTGTTATATTCAAGCGGCCACGACTCGTACTGCAGGACTCTGTACTAAAGCGCTAAAACGCGTCAAACGCCGCGTATGTTAACAAAGCTAGCTAGAAAGTCGAAGAAACTCATATACAGTGTCTACTGAGACGAACAGCGCTTCGGCGCTCTTCCTTGCCTTGCGTTGCTGTGGAAGGCCACACCACACCAATCTTTTTTCCTCTCGCAGTAGCCGATTTTTTTTACTTGTTAGGTGACTGTCAAGTAACTACTACGTAAATTAACTAGCAGCAACGTGTAAATATAGCAATGCCTCTAGTTGTTCTGCAGCTGTTGCTGCTAGGCAAGCCGATTAATACTGGTAGGACGTTCAGCCGATCGGCCTGTTACTCACTTCAACTAAGTGGTTAGAATCACAGCTTTGGAAGACATACGCAGAAAGACCCGGCAATATCCACATGCGAATTATATCGCGTTGTAGATCCACGTCAAAAAAGTCTGGTTTCTTGTTTCGATAGTTTTTAATCAACCCGATTAGTCTACGTCCAATGAACAAAAATTCACCAGAGCTGCCGTCGGAAGACATGTTTAATGCTATGAATATTGCTGACTATAACCTTGGATGAAAAGAATACGAACACATACACAAGTATACGAACCGACCACTGCGAAAAGCAATAACAAAGCGCACCTTGGGGCTTTTAAGAAGTAAGAAGAAAAAAGTTGAGTGCTATTACGCCCACATGTTGTACATCGGTACGCGTAGAAAGGCAATCGTCAATATTGGATTGGCTGGGACAGGAGCTAAGACCGGCGATGGTCGAAGCTGGCCGGTTTTGATCAGAAAACCGTGGCGTACGAAAGCGGAAAGAGCTTCAATTGTAATCGCTATACCTGTAATAGCCTGAATTGATTAATACTGTAAAACAGTGTTGTGGTCATGGAGCGGGGTATGGCGGCCACGGTAAGAATCGCACGGAATTCGGGTTGTTTTCTGCGCAAAGAAAATATTAATTCCGCACTAGGAATTTAAAAGACGCGGTAATATGCTTTAGAACGAAAACAAAGCTTAAAAGAAAGAGATAAATGCTCAGTTATAGTTGCGGGGGCAAATGCTGGGGCTGAAAGGAGGGTGCAGAAAGATAGAAATGAACTGCAGATCATTGTAGTTAGAGCAACTGGGTGTGTGTATAAGACTGAAAGAAAACGGGTTGAACATAAAAGTATGTCATGGATTTGATCTTACTTTTGCTGCGCTGCAGCCTTGTCGCATGCTCTTCATGACGACGGGCGACCGGGTGCCTGGCTGGCTGGCTGGCTGGCTGGCTGGTTGACTAAACTGAGTATGTACAACGATCATGGCTTTACGTTTGCATTGAGAGATTTCAGTACATCTGGCGCATTTAGTGTGAAATGGGCTGTTTCTTGTGGGGCTTGTGCGTACAAGTGCAGAAACCGATAAAACCCGAGGAACCTATTATTAAAAATGAAATTTTATCGGATTTGCAGCGTTGATCGATCATAAGAGGAAGCGATCTGCATATTTGAATGCTTCGAAATAATTATGCTACGGTTCGCGGATATCGTCGTTGGCAGTTGAAAAATAAAAATTTGGAAGCACCATATTAGCCATGTTGGTTCACTTACAGTTCTAAATCGCGATTACTGCTTCGTCACAAACATCAAAGTGGCTACTGAAAACTGATACGATGAGGCCTATGAGCGATATGGGACGCGGAGACTAGTCGATACCAATAGCAGCTTCCTTTTCCATTGAGAAGCGAGATTCTCTTGGCGTCTAATCGGTTGAACCTATCATTTCTTTAGGTAAATTATTAATGACGCTGCAGGAAGTTGCTAATTATGAGTTTTCCGCTTATAAATTGTAATAGCCTATTTCTACCTGCCAAAAGCTATTATAGATGCTAAATCATCAGAATAATTTTGCGGTAATTCACCTTTGATGGGATATTTATATTCATATATAAATATATATGCTACGAAGAACCTGTACTAAGGGCACGTGTTTTAGTCCTGCACAATTCAATTGTTTTCTCGAAATAACCCCGCCGTTGTTAATACATGTTTGCCATCGTTTGTTGCAGTCCAACTCGATTCTAAAAATTCACATGTGTTGAGATTTTTTCTTGGACTCCCTGATCGTCTCAAAAGCTTTTTCTTTTCATGGTAATTCTTGAGCTTTGGCAAGAGGAAGAAGTTACAGGGGATACAAATATAAAAAAATAACAGGTTTAAGGTAACGGCGGCAATGAGTTTCTCCGCAACAAACGCGTATGAGCCGCTGTCTTATCGTAGAAAGGAACCCACAGCTCATTTGTTTATCCTAGGTTTAAGCTTGATTTGACGGGTACGATTACGCAATTTCCTTAAAATTTCTTTGTTACTAGTGACAAAAAAGTTACTCGGCATGAATTTATGATGCACGATACTCCCACAGCTCAGAAAAACGGTAGAACAAAGTTCGATCTTTGACTTGGGTCTATTTTGCTTGAAGCCCTCTTTTAAAGCGACACCCACTCGATTGTACTGTTGTTGCTACGTCATGGTCATACGGTTATGTCTTGCCGTCTGTAATCATTTGTTAGAGCAAATCAGGCTTTTTTTTTGATACATTAAGGTTATTTTGAGACTATTTTTGGTGGACGTGCTCAAAATTCAGGTCCTTCTGTAAAATTGTTGCTGTGAGCTTTTTTTTTGCTTCAAAATCATCTTTCACAACGGCTAGACATGACTTTTACGATCTGGTGATTTTTCAGGATAAATTATTTTTCTTATCTTCCCTCGCTGTGACAGCTTATCCAAAACGATAGTTGCTTTCATTGTGGTCAAATCTCTGATACCACTTGTATGTTCAGCATTCATATGGGTTCATAGTCTGGTTTCTAGAAACGTCCGAAAAAGCGTCCCGAAAGCGTTGGCGCTACTTGCAATTATTAGACCGTGTTTTTAACACGAAACACGATGAATGTTTATTAGCACTCCATTTTTGTTTTTTATAACGAAGCACGACCGAAAGTTCGTTGTTCACTTCAAAGCACTTGCATAATGCAAATCATACGTTCGAGTTGCCTGAAATTCGGCTGTAGGCACCCGATTGATTTCTAGCCACGACAAACACATACAAAATTTAAAGTAAAGAATATTATATAAAGTAAAAGTAAAGAATATTAGCTATATTAGGCGGCCTGGCACGCGTGGTACCATAAGGTACACATGTCAAAGTATAGTGATTGACGTCATGCTTAAAAGAGCTCGATGATTCGTTCTGACACGCATCCGACCGCTAGGCAAATAATATCGATTCATCTACCCAAAGCAAACATGGTTAAAAGTTTATTGTGAGGTTTACATTTCGTACCCAAGTGGTTCCTGCGAGGTTATATAAACGACAAGCCGGGTGCGGTCTCTCTGACGTCTCTCAAGGACGTCTCTCTGAGGTTTATTTTTATTGTACAGTGTTGATTTCTCCAGCCTTGTGCATTGGAGAGCAACTTGGCTGTCTGGAAACAATCATCATTACTTTACCGACTGAGTTGTTCGAATTTTGAAAAATTATATAAGTCGTTAATGTGTAAAATGAAAGAAACCGATAAAACAAAGAAAATTAAATAGTAATTTTAAGAGAAACAACGTTTCCCGACATGGATACCGTTTTGATCGAGTCAGTTGTGGTTGGCTAAAGAATAGGATTTACAATGGAACATAAGGACACAACAAATATATATATATATATATATACTAGCAACCCACTCACTTTAGTTATTTTCTGGTAAGGGTCGCCTATTTCTTATAGTAAAAATTCTAAATTTTTAATAAAAGTACGCCAGTTACGGACTTCTGCCGCTCGGTTAGCAGTTACCTGCATTAACAAGTTTTTTTACAACTTATCGAAACATACGAAATGTCGATAAAGGAAGGTTTAAAGAAACACACTACAGTTTCTAAAGGATAGAGATTATTGTGGGTTTGGTTTTCAAGTTGCTTTGATCTCCATATGCTCGCTCGTACAATTATTTTATGCCGGTAAAACATGTAATCTTCTATGTACTTTGCTTGAATTGTGCTGCTACTGCTAAATTTCACTCAAGTCACGGATCTTTTAACCAAGTCAATCGATCATAGACCCCTTACGAAGGAAGGTGATAACGGGCATGAATAACATTTTCTTACAATGGACTATGCATCGGCCGCTGATTTGTAGACGTAATAAAAAGACCGCCTAGTAACAACTGCTCTTCAGCTATTTGTTCATGCATTTGATTGTGTCGTAACGCACAAACTTTTCTATCGGATCGTACCTTACGCGTTCTACGCTCAGCCACAACCTTTGGGGTTAAGATATCGATTTGCAATTGATTAATCGGAATTCCATTAAATTCTTGGCGTCTCTAACTAACTATTGGGCATAAATATTTAGCAGATGTTTGCGGAGGTCTTAGGGATTCTTGTTAAATTATCAGTAATGATTAGGCGCACAACGAGCAATTTATAGATATGGGCGTATATTTTGTGATCATACTAGCCTCTTGTAAATTATACTTTTTATTATGTGGACGTTGCCATAGAAATACTTCTTAGTTATACAGCTGCTATAAAATCGAAGTTTAAAACTTCGCAAGCGAACTCTATAAATAAAGTGCTAGGTAAAGCCTTTTCTGGTAAACTAATTGTTACGTTCTCAGTCTTTCTAGATAATGTTCTCGAGTGTTTTTTTTTAAGCTCTCAAACCAGTGTGAAGCATTGCATCAGGCGGTTCGGCTAGCTCCGTTTGAAACAAGGTGTTTTCACAACCGTGTTTATCGTTTCCATGTGGAAGGTCGCTTAAGGCATCGATGCAGGATGCTTATGTTTAAAGCTGTACGCCGGCATCGCTGTTAGGCGCATCGTCAGACGGGTGGCTTCTAGCATAAAACGAAGAATGGTATGTACGCCACACCACAACGTGCTTCTGGTATTAGTACGCAAATACGTTACGCACTAACCTATCACTGGGACACACCATAAGAACCTAGCCACACTATGCCAGCTTTCATGGGTTTCGTGTATGTGCCTTAAACAATGGACCCATCTCACCACTCCATCAATACCTCAGTGGCTGCCATATGCACAAGCTAGCATAGAGCAAGCCATTAGGAAGGTCTAGACCATCAGTTTCTACCAAGGTGGAAGCACCGAAGGCCTATCGGGCTTCGCGTACAGAAAATCTAGGTGTGGGGAAAAATGCTTGTATTCAACGGGACAGTACACAATGACAGTGAACTATGGGACTACGTGTGATCCGTTTGAAGTTCTGTTACGTTGAACTGTAAACGTTTGTCATACAATATGAAGTGTGCAAAGTTCGTTCCAAAAAATAGCAAATTTATAAACGTTTAGAGTTAACGCTGTCACCCAGCTAGACACGTACTGCATGGGAATATTTCATTACATGGAGTGGGAAACGAATTGCGGATTGTGTGTTTTTGTATCGTGCATTAACTCCGTTTACCTAATAAGACACACGAAAATGGCAGTATAACCGATCAAATCTATAGGACGCGTATTCACCCCTTCAAATAATATATATTCACATACAAATCCCTATTTCATATAGTTCGTATATCCTGTAACATTTCTGCCACAACGGTACGGGTATTAGCTTCAGCTAATGCATGTTCAATGCCATACATATCATCAGCAATAGTAACAACACTGTTTTAGTAATTATAATAAATACGCAATCTTTATTAAGGCATAATTGCAGTATGGACAATCACTGTATCAGCCGCAGCAATTTCGTCAGCGGCATTTTACTTTTCGTTCCATTTTTGGGTTTATTCTCGAGGATGATTTTGCATGATTTTTTCTGAAACACTAACAAGGCCAGATCACTAATGTTACGAATGGCCTGATTGCTGGCCTATGGCAGAACACTATCTGTGATCTGGTATTCGGTCACGACACCTTCGGTGTCGTATACCTTCGATAGGTGCAGATAGTTCAAAATCTGTTGACCCGGCAGACAGTAGGGGGTAAACGACTGGGCTGCCCACAACGATAGCGGTCTATTGCGTTAGTGCGCGAAGAGCAACGGCTACTTGGCGTAGTTTTACGCTTCGTAAGGAGTGCGCTTCATGATGCGCCGGAATAAAGGAAAGTGCTGTTGGAGAAGATGACGTCGCAAACATATGTCAGCCGTAATGAACTGACGAAAGAAGGATTTCAGATAAAAAGCCATCTAGCGCTGGCCAGGGGACAGCATTTGTTCTTAATTCGATGTTCAAAAACGGTGCAGATTTACAACTGTTGTCGCTACGACCGCCATTTCTCAAAGATGGTATGTATGCGTTTGAGTTTAAAGAAGGCTAAGTTTGTAAAGTTTAAATGTTTGCGAGGACAACAAGCCAGCACTGATGTGGTCGCGGAGAAACTTTCTCTACTGTTCAGGTGGCGTTTGATCTACTGATTAATGAGTTGTTGCTGGATCGAAAGGTGTGCCATAAAACATAAACCTTCAACGATATGGTATTACTTTATGTGTGAGACTTCAAAGAGTTCAAAAACCACGAACGATTCGACTTGGATAACTTTAGACAATCGCCATTGATACACCATGAATACACGATCTGCCTTTTTTCTTAGTCTTGGAAAGCTAACGTTTTTAGCTGGCGGATGACGTTAAATTATGATGAACAGTGATGACTCGGCTCCTGACTCTCGGCATTCGCTATGCAACATTGACACAAATTGTTCAAAGAATGAACATTCGACATTTTGTCATTTGTACATGCCATACGAATGAACTTTTGCAAAGGTTACATCTATATTTAAAGTGAGAGTTTTATTATTGCAGTTTAACGCTGACATAATAAAAATAGCTGCGTTTTTAATTGAGCACCTTAACTTCCATATTCAATAGGAAAAACAGCATGTTAGACAGCATATATAGACGAATCGGCTAAATTTTTCTAACAGCAAAAACACAATAAACTAACGATTCCAGCATGCCATTACCGCAGTCATCTGTACCGTGGTGAGTGTGACTTTAGCGACTCCGCCTAATTATGGAGGTTATCGCGGTGGGGGTCCCGGCAATAGTGAGGAAAACTACGGACCCCCCCAACCCTACGAGTTCAGCTACAACGCCGAGGATGCCGAAAGCTCACATGGACACAGCCAAAACTTCGATGGCACCACTGTTCGTGGACACTACATGATCCAGATGGCTGATGGAACCATGCGTAGGGTGGAGTATCACGCCGATGAAAGTGGTTTTCACGCGAAAGTTGTTACGAATGAGCTTGGCACCGAATCGGGAAACCCGGCCGACGTCATCTTCGAATCGTCGGCTCTTACTGGCGAAGAGGCCGCGCGCCAATATGCCCCTGAAGCAGGTGGCAAACGTAGAAAGGCTGCTGGTGGCGATAGCGGTAGCTGGAATTAAGCATCCGTTACGACCTACCTGTCGTTACAAGTAATGCGATGGCAATAACGTTGCGTAAACAACTGCCATGTCAGGCGCGCACTCATTATTACAGTGTACAATAGTCTTCCCTGTCTTTGAGTTTGCCCCTGTTACCTTGCAGTTGTCATGGTGCATTATTTATTGGTGAGGCATCATTCGCTTTACAAACGTCGGATCTTTTCTTTCGATACTGCGACCTACTACCCTACGTTCAGTGTATACACAACGTCATATGGCGTTAGTTTCTAACTCTAGTCTTATATAATAGAGTTCTAATATCATCAGACGTATGCGCGGGAAAGGTGGCTGCGTATTTATTTTAATAGTCCTTAAATGGGTGGCCTAATGCTAGAATTCGTCCAGGCAGAAACATGTGGCAGGTTTATAGCTATTTAGGTTAGCAAAACGGCTGTTTACCGCATTGCCTTACGTTTGTAAGTTTGAAGCTGTAATAATGTAATAGCGAAGAAGAATAAACTCACAGGTACGTAGAGTTATGTTTGGGTTGTTTTATGTTGACAGGTCTATGAAAGTTGTTTGCGGAGCTCCTAGCAGACCAATTTCCCTTTTTCCTGAGGAGCTTTATTAAGAGGGAGACATTACTTTAGATTTCAATTGGCCATTGCTGAAGCTGTGGCGCTCGAGTCGATATCCAAGCAAAATGTTCATAATGTTGACCTACGTCTAAAATAGTTGAATGGTAAAACCATATGTGTATATATTAGTGCTTAATTTACTTAATGAGGAGATATTACCTATAGGGTATAAAAATCATCTGTTTTTCGAGTCTATGGCAATACAAACTAGTCGAAATATTCAACAAGGGTGACTAACGATAATTAACAGCGCATCATTCGATCAGAGGCTCCTACCTGAAAACTGCACTTCACCAAAGATCTGTGGAGGATCGGCATGGACTTACGTAGGAACTCAATGATTCTTTCTGTTTGTATGCATTTTCAAAAATTATCTATTCTGACCTATCTGATTAAATCAAGACAAAGTTGATTTATCTTGTTACTAAAATCTGCTTGATTGTTTATTCACGCGCTGGATGTCTACATCAATTTAAACAATCCACCATGAGTTAAGATTCGAGGAAGTAATACGTAACACCTAATTATAGTTTGCAATCGCCTTACTATAATTATGAATCTCACTTACAAACAAGCTAGAATTTTCAACAAAAATCAATAGACTCTGCTAGGCTAGAAAATTTTACCTTTAACATTTGTAATAAGTCACCGACTCATAAGCGTTAATCCATAGATTTTAACGGTCTCCTCAATCGTTCATATATCCGACACAATCTGCTTTAGGAAAAGTTACAATGCACTCTAAATTAGAGCTTAGAAAACCTAAAAACCTACTGGCCAATGAAAGCGCGGTGAGTTATGCGTTCGCTTGCTAAACTAGAAAACACGTGATGGCTTAGGTCTCAATTAAGGCGTAAAAACAAATCGTTGCGTGCTAGAAGCCAGCCGTCTGAAGTAACCTCTAACGGTTTAAGTAGCGAACATAAAAACGAAATACAGCGTAAAGATCTACGATGCCGGAAATGGAGGGCTAGGCATACTTACAACACCTAGATAATTAAGGTAGTGCGCATGTACGAGGGTATATAAGTAATACGGTAAAATTGTGGTTTACTTTATGGGCTGAATAGTAGAATTGTATTTGGATAGTTTTCTAGAACTAAAGCCAAGACAACATATTTTCAAAAGGGGCGTTAATATTAAGCGATTATGTATTATTGATCACGTTCTTGTAAATGATCACTAGCTAACAAAGACACGTTAACTTGTTGCCAAGTCTACGTATAAGCCCTGCAATCATGATTCCCTTAAAAATACTACTGTGTTCTTATAACTTCCATATAATTACAGTAAACAGGTGAGAAGCAAACGTCAAAAATATATCCTTGAATATAATTTTAGGGATAGCAATACAGACGACAACGTCGTCACTCAATATTGTTTCGTAGATCCTCATAATAGATCTGTTCTTTTGTAGGAAGCATATGAAAGCCCAGACGGGGATCAATCAGACATCGATCACTTCATCTACTGTTAGTATAGAGTTCGCAAGCTTAAAACAAGCAACCAGAATACTTGGTGTTGACTAGGCCTATTTGTCAAGCACTTTGGTAATGATACATTCGCTAATACGCTGGCCTCCACCAGCCGTTGCCTCTTTAGCTAGGTTATATCGTAAGCCATGCCGTCACCTAACGCCTTTTCCAATCTAACGAATGCTTTCACTGTTATCTTTCATTATCTATAGAGTATATTTGTGTAAAGACAGCGGCGTGTGCCATGCTTACACGAACGTCGACTTTCGTGTTGACACGAAAAGCATTGCAAAAACGAAATTTTCCATTACCAGTTTGACAGGTTACTGATTGCTGCTTTACACATAGAAGTTGATTTTGTCCTTAAAATTTCACAGACCTCACGTTTATGCATGCTCATGTTCAGATGTTTATACGTTTGATCATGCAAAAGGCTGATCTTTCTGCTCGATTCGAGAGACTTCATTTTGTGGCCTCACTCCTTTGTTCGAAGCGATTCTGTGCGCCGCAAGATAAACTACATTCATTACGCATTTGGTATAGAGCAGTAGACACAAGCAGTACGGTTCTCAGCGATGTCTCTAAGGGCATCACTGTAACTCTGACAACTCAATCGACAGAGATAATCAGTCCATTAACGCATCCATATTAAAAGAGTTCGTCCGCGGAATCTGCAGAGCTAGTAGCAGGTTACAATGTACCACAAGCCCCTAAGTTTTCTTACACTTGGCTATATGAGCGTCTCCATGCTGATCTCAAGCTAAACTATTTGCTTTAAACCATCGACGCGGTGCTCATCTGAAACCATCGTTAACTCTAATAAACTTGTACTCAGTGCAATCTGGAACATCTGCCTGATGCTCTTGTCCTATTCTACCATTTTCTATGCATCTTCGGCGAGTGAAGGACCATTCTTCGTCCTTCGAACACTGCCGAAATTATTATCCATATGGAATGCAGCGAAAAATCAAACACAGCGGCGGTGTAGTCAAGGTAACCTCGCCAACCCATTAATGTTCTTCCCTACTGCATCCTTCCCTAGACAACTTGACAAATTGCCAGCAACCCATCTGAGCGATATCTCAGCGTTGAGAAACGTTCCTGCATGACACTTCATTCACTTCGGGGGGTCCGCAGATCATTCGCGACCATTAGCGAGCCCGTTTTCAAAGCGCACGTATCCTGATGTTCAGCACGAATAGCGCAACGGCAGAGACGAAATAAGAGGTCGCGAGAATCTATACTATAGGTTTGGAGCGTTCATCAACTCTTTGGGCGCTAATCATCCAACATGGATTGGAACGTGCGATGACCTTGACTTAGTGAGCTTCAAGTAGGGGGATATATTAGTTGTTATTTTATCATTATTATTATAGGACGTATATATCGCCTGGTCCTTTAAAATATGCGTACGTGTTGCCAGTGCAAAACCCAGGGTTGAAGTTTAGTACGCTCTTCATTTATGTTCATTCACTTCGAAGTCTCCGAGAGCTCGAATGCTTGCGAAGTCGACCAAGGCGTTAGGAGAACACCACTTCTCATAATACGTGACAAATTAGCTTTCTCTCTCTCTCTCTCTCCCTCTCTCTCTCACTTTCTTTCCCATATATCTGCTGATCACTTAGAAAAATCCTTTTGGAAAGATACGCTAGTATACTCTTATGGGTCCTATTCTACAGCTGCTGCAGGGCTGAAATACAGAGAGTTTTTTTCGCTTTTTATTAATAATTTAAAATGGAAAGTTAACTGTAGTGTGTTTTTTACGAAAAAAAGAAGAAGTCTGTTATACTTTCAGTGACATCGTGAGGCAAATGCAGGGCATGCGAAATTGGCAAATAGCATAGACACCTGATACGATGATAGAAGCATCTCGTCAAATATATATCATAAATGTCTTATATGTAGAAAAAGCTAGAGAATGAATCCACGTAACACATTTCTATCGGAACAGCGATATCTGCTTTAGTATTCCAGGAAAATTAACCATGGGCACGATACACTTCGATGATGGCAAAGACTCTACCTAGGACACCGGTTCTACTTTGTTCGCCCTATTTTTTTATATGTCTAAAGATGCGCTGGCTGCATAATGTTACCGACCTTTGTCACCTTGTTAGCTATGTAGTAATTTTACGTTGGAGGAAAAAAAAAACACGTTTTTAAATCATTGCCACTGCCTATTGCCTTACTTCTAATCTCAAGTGTTAGCGTCACCGTTGGTTGATATACATATGTCAATTTAGATACACACATACGGATTCTGTATATAGGCGATTATCATCCAATGGATTCCTTCGGTCGTCGTCGAATGCTGTGTCTCCTTTTGCCAGTGTGCGTTTCAGCAGAAATTCCACGAGCATTCAATGACTGTAAAATGATTCAGAACGTCTCGAACAATAAACAACGGTAGATCGACGGGAACACTTGACTCTTTCGTCTGTCGTCGACTGAACAACAATTGCATCTAATGGAATTCTCATTAAGTGTTTGGGTTTTGATCGCTAGCCATCGGGGTTCAAAGGAATCGTAGGGAAGGCGAAGTGAGGTTGCAGCCATAACGGGAAATGCCGACGGAGATAAAAAGAAAACTTCGCTTTGGAAAAGATGGAGATAATGACATCGTATGACGAAATATCTATTTTCTCCTATGGCTGCTGCCTTGAATGATTTTTTTTGTGTCTGCAGGTAGAAATGGGACCAGAAGGAAGGCCGGGAGCACAGACAACCATTCAGTGGCGTTCTATTAGCAGAGAGCCGTTATGGGGCATACAGAACATTCGAGAGTAACACAGCTAATGTATAAGGCGAGCGATTGGTGGGCTACAGATGGTGTCACGATAACAGGAATATAGGAAGCCGGCCGAGGCATTACCTCTCATTGTCAGCGCAGATCATTTGGACGCATCCTAGCGTGTTTCGAATCATAAGGCGGCACTGTCCAAATACCTATTATGATAGATGATTTCACGCTTATTATCAGCTTGCGAGCAAAGGCTGCGTGAAACGGATCGGTGAACCGCAACAAAACCTAGGAAATATGCACTTGAAAAATCTTTTTATTGTGTAAGATGAGCATGACATTGTTGTGACAAAAGTCCAATGTGAGGGTCGAGATTTGTGTCTGATCATTGAGAATAACTTCGGCGTCTTCGTGTAGATAACCTAATGTAGATGTAATAACGGTTGTTGACAGCCCGAGTCGGAATACGTGTAGATAAATATAAAGTACGCTGCTGAAAAATCAGAGCTGCTGTTGGATATAAATCGCAATTATTTCAATCGGAGCGATAGTAACCTTGCGAATAATAGATAATCAGTGATTGATACCTTAGGCAAATTATATACATATGTATTTTCTGCATTATACGTATATAAGTCTGTCAAGCTAACATCGTTCGTTCCTGATTGATATTATATTATGATATA